TACGGGGCGGGGCAGGGCGGGCAGAGGGCGGGAGAGGCTGAGACCTTGAGTTCACACACAGTGCCCAGGGCAGCGAGGAGCCCGCCCGCAGGGCCACGTGGTCACATGTGCAGACTACGAGGACTGTTCTAGTCTCCAGCCTCATGTCCCCCCTGAACGCAGTCTCTCAGGTGACCAAGCATGCCACATTCCATCCTGTGGATCAGTGGGTCCTGACATCATTCCCACAAAGAGGACTCAGAGAACATGGGAAGCTCCGTAAACAGCCTGGGGCAGTGGGCCGCCCTCTCCCTGACTTTATCAGTGGATGTTCTACCGGCAGAATGTGGGATAATCAAGTTCCCTGGATTCTCAGGCTGGGCTTCCTCTGGGCTGTCTGGTCTCATTAGGCTTCCTCAGCGCTCCCCCTCCCTGGCAGCAGGGCAGTGGGGCTGCCAGCCTCTCCCACTTCCTCTCCAGCCCAGACTGAGCCCCAGGCCACCCAGATGCCAGCAGGCGCTCTGTCCCGTGATAGTGCCCTTCAGGGGAGGCGCCTGGGGCAGATCAGCGCCCTCTGTCCTCAGCAGCGACAAACGAACATGGGCAGCCCCAGGCTGCTCCGGAAATGCTCCAGACACCGGGGCTGGGCAGCTCCCTGGAAGGAGGCCCACTCGTGGTCACGCCGGCCCTGCCCCTCCTCCACAGCACTGTGGGGGAGAAACAGAATCTGCGTAAAGGGACCGAGCGCCACATTTTATTTCTAACTCTCCAAAGCTGGGCAGCTTTTTTCCCCAAGATATGTTCTTTAAAAATTCTAAGTAGAAAATGCTGACTGCCAGCTAAGTTTTCTTTCTGAAAGAAAGAACAAGGCTTAGCCATTAGCAAAGCCCCCAGCCTTCTTCCCCCATGAAAACGGATTACATTCTGAGCTTGTACAACCTCACCACAGACACCCCCCCTCCCAGCACCTTCTATTCAGGACGCACACCATCAGAGGCACTGTGGTTGCACGGTGACTGTCCCATGTGCTGTTTGCTCACTTATTTCTACCCGTCTGCTAATTAATCCACTGTCCGAAGTAATGGACTATTTCCAGTTTTCCTCCTGGAGAATCACAAGGCCTGTTACGGGCTGTTTGCGTCGCCCAGGACTCACACGTGGAATTCCAAACCCCCGGAGTGGTGGTGTGTAGGTGTGTAGGTGTGTAGGGTGGGGCCTTGGGAGGAGTTAGGGTTCAGCGAGTCCCTGTGAGGGGTCAGGACCCTCAGAGAAGAGAGCAGAGCCCCGTCTCTGCTGCAGAAAGACACGGCACAGAGGCAGCTGTCTGGGAGCCAGGGGGAGAGCTCCCACCAGGAGCCAAATCTGCCTGCCCTTCAACTTTGAACTTCCAGCGCCCAGAGCTAAGAAATACATGCCTGTGGTTTCAGCCACCCAGTCTGTGATGTGTCGTTGGAGCAGTGTAAGCTGACTAAGATGAGACTCCATGGTGGTATGAATGGCGGCAGGTGCCGACTAGGCCTCCACTCTCCGGCTTCCGCTTTGTTAGGAGAACACAGAGTGGGCCGAGCTGCTGGCACCAAGGTCAGGGTGGATGGTGGGCAGGGGAGGCACCTGCTCCTTGCTCATTCTGGGAAGGCTAGGGGCTCTGCACCTGGGGGGTGGGGCGCTGCACACCTGTGGCAAGAGGGACCTCGCCGCAGGATGACTCGGCAAAGGCAAGGCAGGGCCGATGGGGCTGCGGACTGAGCGGACGAAGGGCCCTGGAGCATCCGGAAACCAAGCCCTTCCCTGGGAGACTCCCACTGGGTTCCTTCTGTCCAGCGTGGGGCTGTGAAAACTGCCAGGCCTACAGGGCAATTGGAAGGCAAGGATGATACACAATGAGCACTCACACCAGTCACCTGGAGTCACTGGTGTTAACACATCGGGTCTTTGAGCTCTCTCTCCACACACACCCACACGAGTGCGTGACTGGACTGGCGCCTGTCACCCCTACTGTCTCAGCGTGCATCTTCCTGAGAGCAAGGACGTTTTTGTGCTTAACCGCAACTCCAGAAATTGAGCACTGATACAATAAAATGACCTCACAGACCATTCATTTGAAAAATGTCCCATCAACTCTTAGATGTTCTCGGAGCTCCCCACCCCCACACTAATCCAGAAGCCAGTCAACGACCAGGCACTGCATTTGTCGGTCACGTCTCTCGGGAGTCTCCTTGAAGCTTTAAGAGTCTCCTGGCCCTTTTGTTTGGTGATGCAGGCCAGCTGCTTTTTAGGAAGTCCCTGCTAGGTGTTTGAGTAGAGCCAGGACCCGAGGGTCATGATGTCTGAGCTCTGGCACAGACACAGCGATTTAACTCCAGCACTACTTGGATGCCACTTGACCCTCCGCCCTGGCCGCTGTTTGGGGACCCTCAGACACAGCCGTACTAGAACCTGCACCTCCATTAGGTGAGGAGCCCGGCAACCCTAAGATCCAACCTGTGTGTCAGCACAAAGAATGCTGCCTCCTGGCCTCGCGGGGCCACAGCTCTCGGTGGGAGTGGGCACGCCTGCAGCACTCGCTTCCTCTGGTGCCCACCCACACCAGCCCCGGGAGCGGTGGACAGGAACAGGTTCAAACACTGACTCTGCTCTCGGCTCGGCCTCCTGGCCCGGGCCTGGCTCGTCGCCAGCATGTCTTCCATCTGTGCTCAGGGTCCCAGCCCGCAGGCGCCCCAGCACCAGGGGGACACTTTCCAGCGACCCACAGCCATGTCAGAAGGCTGCCTCTTTGGACTCCAGATCCTCCTCCATAATCAGCTTTACTGAGCTGTGGCAGCAGCTGCCCCAGGCTCTGGGCTGGCAGGGACGGAGCCAACTGGGATTAGAAGGGATGCAGGTAATGGAAAAGCAGGGGGAGGGGAGAGGCGAGTTAAGTGCTGGAGTTAAGTGCGGCTCTCAGAGAACAGTGACTTCTCACTCCCTGCTCCCTCCTCCCGCTGCTGCCCTGCTGGCCTCACCCCTGCTTCCCCTGACCTGAGCTGTTTCCCCCAGGGATGCTTCTCAGGGTGTTTGGGGATCAGAAGACCGCACTGGGACCTGCTCTTGAAATGCACAAGTGGATTTCCACACAATTTCTTGGCAGCTTCCTCCAGGGCCAGCCCACGGGAGGGCAGGGGGCAAGGAGACAGTGGCTGTGCCCCCCCCCATCTGAGTCCAGGCCCTTGTGCTCAGCAGTGACTTGGTGCCAGTTTAGTTCCGGGAGCTGGGGAGGGGCTGGGGACCTGATCCCAGAAGGGAAGGGCAAGCCCTCTGAGCAAGGAAATGGCCCTTGACCTTGGTAAGGTGCCCCCCAGCCCCCTCCCCAGGACCAGGACTCGCATCCTCCACAGAGGCAGGCTGCTACGGAAACAGTAGCTCGAACCCACTGCATTAGGAGTCGCACTGCAGAGAGCCTGGGGCCTTGTGGAATGTCCTCTCGGAAGTGCTGTGACCCGGAAGATCCAGACAGGGCTGGGCGCCACTAACGGACATTCTGAACTTCAGTCTAGAAGCTGCCACTGGACGACGAAGGCCGCCATGTGGACCGTAGGAGTAGGGCTGATGGACAGCAAGCTGCAGCCAGAGAGCAGCCTACCCTCCCCGTCCCCAAGGGGCCGGAGCACAGGCAGGGATCCTGAACATGGGTGCAGAACCCACCTGCCACCGTCACCAGTGGCATCAGCAAGAACAGCAGGGCCTCAGTTTCCCCTGGAGAGTGCCAGCCAGCTCCTGGCAAGCTGAAACCACTGTCTGCCCTGGGCTGAGCACAGCAACCCCTCTCTAGCTGGTTAGAACTGGCTCTACTGATGCAATTAGTCACCCACTTGTCAAGCAAAGCGCCTGCTCTGAGGGCGTCTGGTACACTTACTCTGCAAAGAGGGAAGCTTCTGCCTGGCCTGGCCGCCTCCTCCTCCTCCCGCCATGGGCTGTCCCCAGTGTAAGCCATTGTGTCCAGCAAAATTCAGCGCCAGCAACACACCAAAGCCACTTGCTCCTGGTTTCTACCACTCTGGCCATCCTCCCAAGAGCAGGAGCTCAGGAGAGAGAACCAGGCGCTCTCATCAAACCTGGGACCTTGCATGGTAGCCTGGGGGCCCATGGTGCCAAGATGCGGCACCAGGCCTGGGCTGCAGCCTGGTGAGCAGGTTCCCAATCTAAAGAGGGGCTTGGGCAAGTGTGTGAGGCTGGTGGGGTGGTGAATGTAGGCAAGTTCCCAGACACCTCTCTGGGTGCCCTGAAGTAAAACAGGCAGGTCCGAGCTGGCGGATGGACAGAGCTGACCGGTATGGATATGGGCGGAGTAGGCTTGGGCAGCCCCAGGAGGGCGGGGCTGCAGGAGCTTCTTCTGGCTTCTGCGCTCCACCCTGGCCAGGCGGATCTGCCTCCCGGGGCGGGCGGGGTGGGGGTTGGGGGAAACCTGCCAGGGCGCAGGTGCGGTTTGAAAAGCACAATAAGAATGGCTGTGACTGTCCGGTGCCTTGTCTCTCAGTCCCACCCCCACGCAACGTGACATCACTGACTCTGGAATCTGGCATTCAAATTGGCCCACAAAGAAAAGGCAGCTTTCCTTTCTTTTTCTAAGTATTATTACTCTATGCGCGCCTCGAAATAAGCCACTTGCACGTGAATTGGGAGCCCGTGGGCGGGAGGGTGGGGCGTGCGTCCTGCGAGTGAGGCCGCGGCAGAGCAGGACTGAGCCGGGATGCCGGGGAGCTGGGAGCCGGCTCCGGGCTCGGAGGCACCGCAAGGAGGAAAGCAAGCAAAACAACGGAAAACTCCGACAGGCTCATTCCTGGGCGACACTTTTCTGGGGCAGGACCGTGAGTTTGCTCGCCGACCCTCCCTTCCTACCGGACACAGGCTCTGTCCTCCCTGCGGTCGCCCTGCCCGAGGATGGGGGCCTGGTTCCCAGCTCTGTGAGGGGTGGCGGAGGTGGTGGGAGCCAGGAAAAGAACCAGGCCAGGGTGAGGAGGGTGCCTGGGGGGCCAGGTTTGTACCTGCTTCGCCTCGGCGGCCTGTTCCTCTGCCTCTTCGGGCCTCACGGGCTCCCCCTGCTCTTCAGGCGCAGCCCCCGGCTCCGGGGCCCCTGGGCTACGCAGCGCGGAGGTCCCGCTGTCCTCAGCCTGGGGAGCAGGCTCTGGGGACGCGCCCGCGGGGTCCGAGCTCGCCGCCTGTGCGCGCCGCACGAGCAGCCAGGCGAGCAGCAGCGCCAGCGCGGTGGCCAGCGCAGGTAGCGCGGCCAGCAGCTCCGCCGGCGCCTCCATCGCGCTGCGGCGGCTGGAGTGCGCGCCCAGGGGAACCCCGAGGGAGCTTCTGTGCCCTGCCCCGCCCTCTGGGGCGGAGCCCCACGTTGCCCGGCCCCTGCCCCAGATTTCTCCGCCCCCTGGGGTGACAGATCCTGAGGACAGGAGCCCCGACCTCTTGGGAAGCGCATCTGAGACCAGAGGAAGGCCAACCCTCCTTTACCCCTTGGGGGGGGGCGGGGGGGGAAGACCTGGCGCTTTGAAAGCCGGTCAGAGCTCATTACTCAGGTACCCTTATTGTCATCTTTGGGAATCATTTTAGCCTTGCGGAGGTCATCTTAGAGCGTTTTGGAAATGTAAGTGCTAGTTTGGGCCAAGTACAGCCAGGAAGGCTTCTGTAATCTGGCTCTGGACTTCCTGTAGAACAGTGAAGACCACGCACGCACCCCGCGTACTTTAGCCCCTTGACAGCCGCGTGGACGGCCGCTTTATTCTGCAGGGCTGCCCGCATACACTTGCAGAGTCCGTTTCCGTCCACCGGGACCGCCCCTGCAGCTTTCCACTTGCGCAGCCTCCTAGTAGTGTAGCCGGGCACCCCCCACGGCAGGTTTCTGGAGTTCCGGTTCTCGGGGTCAACTCTGTTCCCGTTCCAAACCCTCTGCGCAGAATTCTGGACGTCTGGAAGGGTGGAATGAGGTAAAGGGAGTCTGCTGTTTTTCTCTCTGCAGATCCTTCCAGGATCTGTGGCTGAAGAGTGCATATTTGAGATAAATACGTTGTTACCCAAAACATGATTTCTTTACCACTCCCAGCCCCCACTGTAGTTATTTTAAACAAACAGGGGGCTGACCAGGTTTGTCCGGCCCATGGGAAACATAAGGCCTCCTGTTGAGAAGAGCAAGGTCTGGTTTCTGCTGAGGGTGCATTCAGTGCTGTTTGGGGAAATCTGCCATGTGCCTGAGCTGAGGTCTGATGTCCACTCAGATGCAGGACGGAGGGATTCCTTTCGAATGGAAGGTGCAAGTGTGCCCTCGGGCTTCCTCCCGTCCGGCCAAACAGGGCTCCACAACAGGACGAGATCACCGTCCTGCCGCGTCACGGAAATATGAAGGGGAACAGGCAAAATAAAATAAAATCAAATCTCAGTGCTGGTTGATGAAAACAGCCCCGAACGGTAACATGTGGAATGGGGCTCATCTCTTGGCTACTGGATTTTGGCCACTGGGGGACTTTCAGCCAAAGTGCTTAGGCCTCATTTTTGCCCCCATCCCTGTTGTTTTAAAATACATATGCAAGAGGTCCCAATGTGGAGGCCAAAACTCGGTTACCATGAAAAGAAACAAGGATGAAACAATGCCAAAAACCCAGCTCCGAATCAAGTGGCTTTATTTACAGCGATGAACAAGTTTCAGCCGAGCGAACGCTCAAGGGCTGACCCAGTGGCGGGCGCACCGGCGTTCTGTGCTGGGCCCTGCCACGAGAGGAAGCGTGGTGAGGGCAGGAGGCTCCACACTCAGCAGTCAGCCCCAGTTCTCTGGCGCCCAGGCACCCGCGAGGCAGCGAGCCGGAGGCTGCCCTGGGGGAGGTTCTCCTGGGCGCCTCAAGGGGACGGACAGCTGTTCCCAGGTTTTGAAGTAACAGTGAGACAAAGTTGAGGGCCACCGCCTGAGCACACGGGACCCGCGTGACAAGCAGCTTATTTGGGGAAGGGCTACAGCCAAGTCAAGGAACCTGAGTGGGATGCTTATTTGCCTGCCTCCTAGACAGCACTTCTTACGACACGTATGCAGCACACCTGTTCCAGCCCGCATGCTCGTCTGACGTCCTGAATCACACCCACGCTGACCACAGGTAGGTTTGTAAAGCACTTCCACCAACGACTCGCTTGTTGATCCTTAAGTACTTTCCTCGAATGTGCAAAGAAGCCCCCACTGTCAGGAAGACAGCCCCCACTGTCAGGAAGACAGGTTCACAGGCCCTGACCAGCAGCCCTGTGAACTGTGTGCTGCGGCCTGCGGGGCTCCGCCAGGTCAGGAGCCCCTGTTCGGAACGGCAGCGTCTCCAGCACCCAGGACAGTGCCGGCAGGCGAACACGTTGAATGCTTGATGTGAATAAATGGGCATGTGCAAACATGAACAAAGTGTGAGCAAAGTTCCTGTTCTGGGTGTCACCTTGGACGTCACAGTGCTCCTGAAGACCCGGAGGCCCCTGTGTGCAGCCCTCGAGGCTCCCGGCCGATGGAAGAGTCTCGGCGCCTCTCCCGTTCCCCGGTGTCCAGGCCCCCACTCTCGCCCCACTGCCCCTCCCCATCAGCCACGCGGTCCCAGGTCCTTCCTCTCAGGACCCGGCTGGTTGGTTTTAGAATTAGCTGGAGAATGCTCCCTAAAAATGGTTTGACGTCGCACCCTCCACTTCACTGTTGTCGACTACACTTGAAACAGCACCTCAAGCCAGGTGGGCAGCGGGTTACCTGAACCCCTTGTTCCCGGGCCTGCCGGGCCTCCCTGGTCCTGATCGCCCAGCCCCCACTCCACGCCTTTGCCGCTCTCTCCCCATCTCATCCCTGACCCCTTACTTCTGGGTGTCCTTTATCAATCGGGGGTCACTTTTGGTATCTGGGGAAACGAAACGGGGTGCCTAGTCTTTTTAAAGAAGATTTTACTTATGTATTTTTAGAGAGAAGGGAGAGGAGAGAGGGAGGGAAACTTCAATGCATGGTTGCCTCTTGCACGCCCCCCACTGGGAACCTGGCCCGCAACCCAGGCATGTGCCCTGACTGAGAATTGAATAGGGACCCTTTGGTTCACAGGACGGCACTCAGTTCACTGAGCCACACCAGCCAGGGCTGGGTGAAGCTTTTTATTGTACGTAAATGGCCAAGTCAGGAAACACCACTGGGCAGAACATCCATCTCAGTTTGAGTTTTAAAAAACAGAGTCTGTGTCAGACTCTAAAAACAAAAACCCAGGCAGGCCAGAGACCATCACTCAGGCTCTGAAAGGGGATCGTCAGCCTCAGCTTTGTGGATTACTGAGGACCTGCCACTCAGGCCGGGGGAGGGGCCGCTTGGGGGAGGGGCCGGCTAAGTGCAAATTGCCACTAGACCATCCCAGCCACTGCTACGGCTCACTACGCCCCCTGGCGGCAAACAGCCTTCAGTTGGGGTATTTTCCTCTAATTCAGAGAGGAGCCCTTGGTATGAGTTTGAGAAGAGAGTGAGTAGGAGAGCCTGATAGCAATCCTGGGGGTAAAAGATAAAAGCATTTTCAGGACGGCAAGAAACGTTCTTTGAAAAGGAGGAGGAACACCACTCAGATATTAATACAAAGAGACGACGGCTTCAGGGTTTGACCTCGCCCTCACCCAAACACAGGCCGGGCCACTCTGGCACCAGGGGCCCTGCTGCTTGGCAGGGGATGAGGGGGGCAGCACGGGGGCAGGTAGAGGGACAGGTGCCCAGGAGACGGTAGCAGCGCTCCATCCAACCGGCCACATATTTAGGCGTTTTAGGACAAAGAAAACTGGACTGGGGCACAACGGGGGCAAGTCTCCTACAGAGTCACACGAGCAGCCCAGTGGCAGGAATGTCAACCAATTTGTTAAAAACCCAACGCTGAGCAAAGAAGCCTAGATTCGCCTGCTTATGCCTATTTTCAGGAAGGAATTTGGGAGGCGCTGGCACACGATGCCAGTCTGGCACACGGCCTCCACCAGTGTCCCTAACCCGGCGCACACACTCCTGTCCTCCGGGGCATCGCATTGACAGTGCCTTGCCTGAGTTCCGACCCACACAGTATTTTCCCGGGGCATGTCCTTGACAGCCTCTTCCTTTTTATGTAGGTGAGGGACAGATTAAGGCAAGCAGATGATTAAGGAGGGCAAGAAATGGAGCCTGTTGGTCGACTCCCAGGTTTTTGTAGCAGAACTGGCTAGAAGCCTCAACAGCTCCTCACGAGGAGGCACAGCGTCTCTGAATTTGTTCCTCATGTGACGCAAGCCACCCACCAGATGCTGTGGAGGTCCCACCAACAGGGGCGACGACTGTGAACTCTTACAGCCTTGGGGGCATCGCTGGGCAAATGGGGACGTCGGGAGGCAGCACACTCAGGGCTTCTCAGGTGTCATTTGTCCCACACACAGATCCAGTCCACCCACTCGTCAGCGTGTCTGCGTCCACACAGCTGGCTCTGGGGACGGTGCGGATTCGCAGTCCAGCAGCCTTGTGGTCGACCAGCGTGGTCTTACAGGAAACGCACAGAACCCTCACCCAACCTCCGGGTGTTCCACTGAGCTGGCCGAGTTGCGACACTTAGCAGTAGAGACAGCATTTGACCAAAGACAGCCTTGGGCCAGAGAAGGATGATCCCAATTCCAAGAAGACAAGAGAGAAGGGGGGGCCACATGGAAACCGAGCTGGGTGGCCACCAACAGCTGACACACGAGCCAGCTCAGGGAGTCTCTTTCTACGTGCTCGGGGGTGAGCAGGGCCTCCGCCAGGGCCCCTAAACCGGCCAGGGAAAGCGCACCTGCCTGTGGTCAGCATGGGGACGGCACAGCCGCGTGCAAAGCGGGAGGACAATGTTGCCACAGGCCCCCCAGGCCCCTGTGTCGAAGCGATGGCAGGGCTTTCTCTAGAAATTGTTTTTACGAAGGACAGAGCCACACCTCACGGGCAGACACAAGTCTTCAATGACGGAAACCCAAGACGGCCGTGCAGAGGGCATCTCGGGCTGAGACACGCGCTCTAGTCCCGTCAGGTCACGTAAGACACCTGCTCTTCCCCGTGGAATTCCAGGAGGAAAACACGACAGAAGAACGCACTCAGCTGCCCACAGACACAGAGCAGCGAACAAGAGCGCTGCCTAGTAAGCGGTTAAGGACTCTGGACACTCGAATGCCCATGAACTCCAGCCTTTCACTGTCTTCCAGGAACCTCGCCCCTTATGCTCACACATGGAACGCAGGGCTGCGTGGCCCAGAGACCCTGGGTGCCTGAGCCACCAGCCTTCACCGTGGCCAGCACCAGGGCAGGTGCTGCAGCCTCGCCTTCACTGATATCACTGAGTTTTCACTTCCTTAAATCAATTCTGGGTTTTTAATGTTGGAGAGATGATTCGGATTTTATTCAGAAAGTCTGAGTTCTCTGCCTCTCTCCAACTTTGCCCGCCCGCCCGTCAAAGCAGCCAGAACACAGTGGGAAGAAAGGAGCCACGCTTCAGGCCTGTGCGTGTGGGGAGGGCCCAGCCTCTCCCCTCACTGCTGCTGTGACGTCCCATCGAGGGTACAGAGCTGTGCGGCCACTCCTCTCCCACAAGGCCGCCAGGGGAGGAGCGACACAGGAAGATCCTGGTGTTCTCAGAGAAAAGAAAATTCAAAGGTGTAAAATGCATTTCATTTTTATTAAATAAGGTAAAGAGTCTCCTTGGCACCGTCCACACAGATCCTCGCCTTTACGCAAAGAACAAGCCACGTGAGTTTGCGCCAGTAGCGGACAAAGAGCTACTGCAGCAAACACTAAGTGAGCGGGCTCACTCCAGGAGCGGCCTCACTCGCCGGCCCCTGCCGGCCCTCCCCGTGTCTGCAGGAGCCGACAGGCCGCCCTCCCTGGGCCCTGCCCCTGGCCGAGGCACGTCCTCCGACACAGACCAGAGCCGAGCTCGGTCACCTGGAGGAGCTGCGCTCTTTGCTCACGCAGTCATCTTGGGAGGCGGTGTCCCCGTTGCCCACCATGCTGCAGGTCCTCCTCTTCTTCCTGCGGTGCATCGTGCTGTCACCTTCAGAGCCCGACTCGCACTGGACACGGGGGAAACACAGGGACTCAGCCCAGTGGAACCTCAGCAGACAGCCTGCACGCCGTCCACTTCCCCCCGAAGCAGAGCAGCTGCCTGTGACCACCCCACAATCCAGCCGGGGCAGCCACCGCCCTGAAGACTCCCAGCTCCTATAGAATGAGAGTCTTCCGGCAGGTGGCCGGTGCCCCCATGCTGGCTAGTGGTGGGGCCATCCGACACCAGAACAGCCGCCGTGAGAACGAGTGCGGGCACCCCAGGTCTGCGCCCCAGGGCTGCACTTGGCCCACGCTGCCTGGGGCAGGAAGGTGAGCACCACTCTTACCACTCACAACACCCGCCCCGCCCTGCCCCGCCCCGAGGAAAGACAGAATCTCAGAGAAGCACTCAGGGAACAGAAACTCTACCAGCAAAGGGCGCAGGACGTGCTCACCCAGCATTAGGGAAGCTTTCAGAGGTCCCTGCATTTGCTGGGTCTCTAGGCTCACAATATACCCTCACAGGGCAAATTCCTGACCTGGACTTTGTGCTCAGAATGCTCACAGTTTTGGTTTTTGACACCTCTGTTTGCTGGCTGTGTGGTCCCAGGCCACTGACTCACTGAAATCCTCAACTACTCTTTTAATCTCTTGAGACCACTGTAGTGATTCACAGACATGGAGCTACAAAGTGGGCAAAAGTCCCTCCACGGCAGGAATGATGGCAGTTGGGGTTCACCTCTTTCCCCCGCCTGGATGGGAGGAGGGAGCGTGGCCTCTGGCTTCTTTGGGGAGCAGACCTCACCTCCGAGTCCGAGTCGGATGAGCTGGAGCTGGAGGAGCTGGACGAGTCGCTGGAGCTGTCCGAGGCAATTCCCGTGGATTCCTGAAGGTCAACGGAGTCCGCCAGAACCGCCAGCTCGGGGCGCTCCTGCTTCAGGATCCTGAGGCACAAGAAACCTTGCTCTCAGTGCCGGGACCGGCAGCGACGCCTGCACACAATCCAGACTCGGCCGGAGACCGTCTCTCTCTCAGAGGCACCCGGGACTGCCAGGTGCGCGTTCGCAAAGAGGGCTGCGGAGGAACGAAAGCCCTGGCCTGCTGCTCAGTCAGGCTTTTCCCAAAGCAAACTAGCTCCAGGTGACTTCCCGCCGCTGCGCGTGGGCTGGGGTGCGCCTGCCGGGAGGCAGCGTTGCCGTGACCTAGTCTCAGTGTTTTCCCCTTGGGGGAAAGCCTGTCGTCCTCACTTCTCCCTGAACTTCTCCTAGCTCACTTTTTTAACCTCCCTATCCACACAGCTCAGCGCTTGGCAGCTGGAGTCGGGCCGGTGAGGCTCTGTCTGCGGGAGGAAACGACTAGGTCTGCAAGAAATGAGAAGTGTCAAGTATAGAGAGGGCCCCTCATTAGGGACGAAACGGAACCGGACCATCGGAGGCCGAAGCCCCCCCCCAGGAACTACGTGGCGTCCGCTGGGACTAAGGACAAAGACCCTGCCGCAGGTCAGGCCGACGGAGCACGCGGCAGCCTGCAGGAGGGAGAAGTGGGCCTCAGGTGCCTGTGAGTCTGGGGAGGATGAGCCGCCACCCCTGCTGGCCCTCTCAGCAGGGGGGCTGAGCACTGAACCAGACGGCATCCCTCTCTTACCCCGAGAGCTGGTCCCTCCAGGTCAGGGTTGGGACACAGAGGCACGGGGTGGCTGGGGGTGGCGTGCACTGCCGCTGCCCGTGCTGTATCTGTTCTGTGGATAAACAAAGGAGCTAAGTCTCCAGGGCAGTGACCTCACTCGCAAGAACTGAAGGTAGTAAGTTCAAATGGGAATCACGCCTCTGGGTAAGAAAAAGAAACACCCAAAATAAAACCCGAACAAAATGGCTTTCTCTGCTAGGGCTAGCTCTGGGGCGGAGAGGATCAAAAGCAAACAACCCTCCCCCCAAAATGAGAAACAATCCCAATTACAACCACGTTTTGACTGACTGTCTTTGGTCAGCATGCAGAGCCTCCGCCTGTCACCCGCGGCTGGCAGGCACCCTGAGCGCGCGCCCTGCTTGGGCTCACTCTCCTGCGCCCAAGTGCTCGCAGCCCTGCCTCGGCCGGGCCTGCCTGGGCTCAGCGGGCTATCGCAGCAGCAGGCCCTTTCTGTTTTATCTCTGCGGCGGACATCGGAGCAAAGCAAGAGAAAAAAGAAAATGTCTCTCACCTATACCATTTCCTGGATAACTTTGGTCTCCCTCTTACCGTCTTGTGCCACACAACAGGGAAGTTGGTGCTGCTGGCAAAATTCTGGGTGATGGCGATGGTGGTGTCAAGGTTGAGAACGACGTGCCACCAACCTCCTGAAATCCAACAAGCGAATAGTTCAGTGGGCCGGGCTCTGGACACAGCCATTGTAATACCAACTCCACGCAACATCTACCGGGAACTTCGGAAGCAGGGGGTTGCCAGCCCAACCCCCTGGGGGCTGCTCCTGATCCCAGAGGCACAAGGGACCTGTCCGTGTCACTGGAGTAGGGCTGTGCCTGCTCGGTTTGGGATTGTCTACGACTGCTTTCCTGCTACAGGGGCAGAAAAAGTGTGTCCTCTCCTGCTTGTCCAAATCAGTGACCCAAACCATGAGGGCGGCAAGTTCTTCAGCCTCTCGTAGGGGAAGGCCTGACCGAAATCCCTTTATTTGCCACATGTGACCCCTTAGAGGCACTGAGTATGGGGCTGATTCCCTGCCACTAAGCTCCAAGTCGCAATTTCCTGACTCAACCCACCCAATACCACATTGTATCAAAACCCCAATTTACAGAGATTACAGAAAACATTAGGTCAACACCAAGGATAAAAATGAGAACTTTATATGCAGACAGTTTGCCGATAGTCATTATGTACTCAGGTGATAAGAAAGGTGGCAGTGGCCCCCTCAAAACTTGCCAGCAGTGACCTATCACTGTCAGGTGGGCACGGGCCAGTTCATTCAGTCTCTGTCCAGAGGGATTTCTTTGACCCGCTTTATAGGTAGTTCTGCTTCAAACCAACAAATCATTAAATTCAAGGAAAGACCCTGTTTCAGCTCTTCTATACCTGGCACAAACACAGTCTCTCCTGGTTTTTGCAAGATTTCCAGGGGTTTGAATTCAGGTGGCCAGGTGGGAAGCTGTGTCCGGGGATAAATGACGTTGAACCAGGTAATAGCTTCATCTTGCTGGTTGCCTCCTTCTTCGCGGGTCACCTTGATGAGCTCCCTGGGCGTGCTGGTGGGGAAAAGGCACCAGCGCTTGTGGCCCTGAACTAAGGCATTCCAGGCACTGGTGCCCAGGGGGTCAATGTGAATTCCGGTTCCAGAGCGTGGTGGCCCCATCACAAACCACCTAAAGGATGGACAGATCCAAGATGGGAAGAGAAATTAAACTGTATACACACACAGCACAAAATAAGTATGCAACTTTATATACTGCACTGTTATCTTTGTTTCAAAGACCACACAGACTTTGGGACACACGAATGCTGAGTTGCACGTGGACTGACCCCTAATGGAGAAAAAGGGTCACCGGTGCACCAGTGCTGGACTCAGAAAGGGCAGCCGACCCAGCCGGCTTGCAGGGACTGTCGCAGAGGACACTGTGACGGTGCCTCACCTGTAAGGGGGCCGGCGCTTCTCCCCTGCGTACTGGAAAAGATCGTCAGTGAAGAACTTGGGCACCTTGTAGTCTTCTAAGAGTTTCCTTCTTTTGGGATGTTCACCGTAGCTGCTGTCAAAAATGTACAGGGGGCTGTCATCTCGAGTGCTCTCCATGTACTCAATATAGTATTTCATCTTCATCTTCACGGAGTAGCCATCGTTATCCTCTCCGCACTTGAACTTCTGGTTCCGGTACTTTCTTTTTAGCCGTTCCAGAGTCCATTTCTCCTGCGCAGACCAGCCCTCTTGGGCACTGAGCAGAACCACGGGCTTGTAAGGTCTTTCGTATCGCTCCACAAATTCTTCCACCGACAGCTGTAGTGCGTCTGCCCTCTCCACATTATCCTGGGGGAATCAGAAAAAACCTATCCAGTTAAAAAAAAAATCAAGCAAATAAGGGTGTCCCCAGGGCCAGTTAACAATGACATACCTAATGAGACAGATTTTTGTTCTGGCTCTTATGGGTTTGGGTGGGGGGCAGGGGAAGGACCTGCGTGAATGCAAGCACGTTGTAGCCTGAGCCACCACACCATGGGCGGTTTCGAATCTCCCAGTTTTGTGGCCTTTGACAGCCAGGTCCCCGAGGGACTCGCCGTCCAAGGAGATCAAGGGGCGACAAGAGTTCTCTTTGAGGGCGCCAAACGCGTGAGAGTCCAGGTGCTCGGGGAGGGGAAAAAGGAGACACTCCCTGGAACCATGGCCCCGATGACCCCGACGACCCCGACCTCCGCCAGGTGCGGGTGAGCCCATCGGAACCCCGGAGTGCCGCGCTGGGGGCCCGTGGACTGTGCCCTGGCAGAGGGGCGCGACCGCCCGGGGACGCACATGCCCGGCCCACGGTCCCCGCACGCTCACCACCACGGCTGCCGGGTTCAACGAGAAGCTCTCATAGTAGTTGTGCCGGGTCCAGTCCAGCGAGTCCTTCAGCTCCGGGCGCGCACTCCGCTTGGCCTCGCGGATCCGCTTCTTGCTCTTGTGGTTCATCCTGAGAGGGTCACCAGCTGGTTCCGCGACGACCTCGGTGCAACTCGCTTCCGGCCACCAAAGCGCCCCTTCCCGGCCCAGGCTGGGGCTGCACATAAACGCCCTACGCCTTTAAAGCCTCCTTCCAGAATATTCACTCCCCAACCACCTCCCTGGCTTCGGGTTGGGCTTGCGGCTGCCGTCTTCCCCGCCCCCCAGCCTCTCCTGGCCGGCCATTGGCCTCGGCGCCTCTAGGGCCCGCCTTCACAGACGCCGGGTTTCTGCCATGTTGGGAAGGTCCGGCCTGCCCAGGCGCCGTCGCACTGCGCCCGTCTCTCTTACTCCTGCTTCCTGCCACGTCACCTCCGGCCGCGCGCAGCATTTCCGCAGCGAACTTCCGCAGGCGCGCCGCGCGGTCCCCTGTTCACCTACTGTCCCCAGGCTTCGGCTCTGTTCTCCCATCGTTGTCACTCTGTCGCCCGAGGGGTGGTTCCCCCCACTCTTGCCGTAGGGCTTTAGGGGCCCGGCGGGCCCCGCGGTGCCGGGGAGGCGGCCCTGTGGGCCCAGGGACCCCGCGCGGGCAGCCTGGCCGCGCTGCGCCGTCCGCTGGTGCCGGTGCTCCCGGGGGCCGCCGACTCTCTTCTGGGCGGCCGTGGTCTCCGTGGTCACTTGGTTCTCGCCCAGCGCTTTCGGTTCTCGGAAGAGCAGGGAGCGGAGGGGGCGGTGCTGGAGGTCTGCGTTCCGCAGGTGCGTGCAGCTGCACTCGCCAGGAAAGGTCTCCGGTCGTGCACGCCCTACCTGCCTCAGGGGCAGTTCCAGGCTATCTGGGTGGTGGTGGGCGAGGGCGGGGGCGGTCCGCGGCTTCCCGCCTTAGCATGGACCGAGCGAAAGCCTTGGTATGAGGCCTTTGGAGTATTACATGTCTTTTAGTAAGGAATCTGGGGGCTTCGCCAGGAAGGACACCGAATATTCCTGCCAGAAAAGTGGAATTCTTGAGACCTAATATTGCCTTTGATCGTTTTGAAGGGCTTCTTAATCTTTACCTGGGATCGGGGCTTCTAACCCTTTCTGCCTGGGGTTACAGGGAGAGAGTAAGGTAAAGTTTTGGGGTTGGTATTCACGTCTTCCTTTCAGCTCACAGTTGCCCTAAAACTCATAATTGTGCTTTACACGCATTCGGTTCTCAAAGCACTTTCACGTTGTAGTGTTTCCTTTGGTTTTAACAGCAGCCTGTGACGTAGGTATTAGTAATAACAGTTTAAAGGTGAAAAATAGTTCCAGTAGGACCCATTTCTGATAGTTTCTAATGCCTTCACCTTGAAATACCCGTCTGGATTTCTTCCCAAATTCAGGGAGTGAAGATCCTTCCTGTGAGAACAGAGGCCTCTTCTTTTATCTGCACAGCTTGCTCTGGTCAGAAATCCTTCACTGCCCTCCTGGGTAAAATCTACCAGGGCAGGCACTTTGGTCTCTTACTCATGCCGCAGCACTTATGGTTAGAACAGTACCTCACATATTTTAGGCACTAATATTGATTGGGTTAAGTTCAGACCTTAGTTCCTCCACCTTTGATATTTTGTAACCTCAGCCCCCTTCCTACCACCCCACCAGGGGCACCTTTGAGAAAACAAAGACTTCTGATTTAATAATTGCTAACTGTATTCTTATTGTGTGCTTGGTACTGTAGTAAGTTTGCATTGAATTTTCTACCCACCCCATGGGATAGTATTTTGCAGTTGAGTAAACTAAAGCACAGACTTAAGGAACTTGAATGAGGTCACACAACTGGTAAATTGCAGATCTGGAATTTGAGCTCCAGCAGGCTCATCGCAGTTGTGAGCTGTGTTGTCTTGCCTCGCTAAATACCACACCCTCACAACTCCATGCCTTTTCAGAGGCTTTGTGAACTTGTCTGCCTTCTTAAACCCTTCAGGATGCAGGTGCACTTAAACCTCTTCTAGGAGGTCTTCCTAGGACTGTACTTTCATTTGCATACCAAGTTATGCTTGTGCTTAAAATCTTCCAGTGTCGTCTTGCATTTCAAATAAAAGGTAAAAATACAGTAAAATAAACTATTAAAAATAATGAAAAGCTAAACTTCCTGTGGCCTTAAAACCCCCAGGTCTGATCCCTGCCTTCCCTGTGATCTTTACGTGCACTGCAAAGCCCTACCTCCAACCCCTAGGCTTGGGCTTTCTGTTGTCCAGCAAGAGGCGTCTGTTCCTGCTTCGGGGCCTCTGTCTGAATCATCCTTTTTCCCTATCTAGGGGTGGCTGCTGTACCCTGCACCCCGGGCCACCCCCCAATACTCTTGACATCACCGTTTTATTGTGTTGATAGCATTCTCATAAAACAAAAATACCTTTATTTGCTTACTTATTGCCTGTCTCTCCCTAGAAAGATAAATAGGCTCCATGATAGTTACATCCTCAGCCTCAAATAGCTATTAAGCCACTAAATAAATGCTTATTGAATAAAGAAATGAGTGAAGAGTGCTAATTACCACAGGGTATTGCAGTTTTAGAGCCTCCCACAGGGTGTGAATTGGGGAGTCTTTTTGTAATGGGTGTCAGTGCCAGGCACCGGGCCATTGTGTAAACAAGCATTCAGAGCGCAGCACGAGTTATTGACAATACACAAAAATTCTTTACAGGTCCTGCATCTCCAGTATGGCATGTACGTTTGGCCCTGTGCTGTGGTCCTGGCCCAGTACCTGTGGTTTCACAGAAGATCTCTACCAGGCAAGGCTATCTTAGAGGTAAACGTGCCCTCAGAGTTTCAAAAAAACTACTCAGATTTAAGTCTACATGCGGTTCGCTTTTGTGAAGTACAGAGTGAGGCCAAAGTAGGTTTACAGTTCTGTGTAGAAGTTTATTCTCGTATTATTTTCCATACAAACTGAAGCTTTGTTTTCCCCACACTGTATTATTTTTTTTAATGTTTGTTGACACTACTACAGATGTCCATTCCCTTTCTCCCACTGTGCCCCCCTCCACTCAGCCCCCACCCCCCACAGTGTTTAAAATCAGGAGTAACTTGGCTAGCTTGTAAGGCATGTGAGCAAGAACAAATTTTACATTTGTAAAATGTTAAAAAAAAAAAATGGACCAAGACAAACTTTTACTATCTGGCCATTTATAGTTGCCAAGCTTTAAGTCTGAGTGGAGGCCATTGGCTGATTTGGCAAGAGAGCAATCAAGGTATTTCCCCATTGGGCTCCAGCACCGTGTCCTCCTCCCAGAACAACTTTCCCATTGCACAGATCTTGAGATCAGATTTAAAATGGGTGTCAGGCTTTTTCTCAACCGTGATGAGAGTCTCTGTGTGACTTGAGACTGGTGGACGCTTGGAGAAATAACCTTTCGTTGTTTGCAGAGGTGGTAACTTTGCTTAAATCTAAAGCTTAAACACAAACCAGAAGCTTAAAAACACCTGATTTTTGCTGAACCTATAAATGAAGGGTAGAGAAGGCATTTGGCCTTCTGTCCCCCAACCTGGCACTCGTTAGGCATTCAGAAAAACTGAGAATCTATGCCCATCCTCAAACTGGGAAATGGGAAGCTTACTTCAATGTTAACACAAAGGCAGTCCCTGGTATTGGTTCCCCCTGATGGAAAATCCTTCTGTAGCAAGCCACACTGTAGACCCATCAGGCTTCTATTCACCAAAACCAGTTAAAGTCAGTACTGCCCTGACTGGTGTGGCTGGGTGGGTTGGGCAGTGTTCTTTGGACCAAAAGCTCCTGTTTGATTCCAGATCAGGGCACCAGACATGTTTGTCTCCCTCTTTCTCCATCCCTTCCCTTCTAAAAATAAAAGATCTTTAAAAATATAGTACCAACTGGCTGTGCATGTTAAGTCACTCAGAGCTTCCAGACACCCAGTATCCTATGAAAATGAGAGCCAAGTGTCCCAGACTACTTTCCTGGGCTTGTCAGCAACGACAGGGCTGTGGAGTTTGGGAGCACAATCCATTGTGGAATACAGGGCCTTGTGTGGGACTACAGCTGCCCTTTGACCCCATTAATAGTAGTCATAACTCTTGCCCTAAATGCAGAGCCCAGGCATTCTACAGTTTAAAGCATTTTTAAAATGGGGAGCTATCAGCTGAGACCCAAACTCTTTGCATTTCTAGACCAACTTTACAAGGTGGTCTTTTAACCTTTTAGATTGGAGCTGGAGTGAGCCTTCCAGGAATTACAGCTGCAAAATGTGGTGCAGATGTAACACTGTCAGACAGTTCAGAGCTGCCTCGCTGTCTGGAAATCTGTCAGCAAAGCTGCCGAATGAATAGCCTGCCCCAGGTACGCGTCATAGGACTAACATGGGGCCACCTGTCACGGGACCTCCTGGCTTTGCCACCACAAGATATCATTCTTGCATCTGATGTGTTCTTTGAACCAGAAGGTAAACCTTTTTTGCTCAACAGTAAATGTTACCAGAGTTGCAGTGTAAGTAGAAATCTATTAATAATAAGCCCTTTCTTCCCAGATTTTGAAGACATTTTAACTACAGTTTATTTTTTGATGCAGAAGAACCCCAAGGTCCAATTGTGGTCTACTTACCAGGTGAGAAGGTAAGCCCTGTCAATCCTGGTAAACTCAATGTTTATTCAGTTGAATTAAATCTCACTAACACAATGTCAAAGGATAAAATGGAAAATGCAGCTGAAGCAACACAGGAAAACCCTAGTTTTTAAAAACAATTTATTTCTCTCAGTGCTGACTGGTCACTCGAAGCTTTGCTCTACAAGTGGGATATGAAATGCGTCCACATTCCTCTGCCATCTTTTGACGCAGACAGAGACAACATAGCAGAATCTGCCCTCCCAGGGAGACACACTGTTGAAATGTTGGTCATCTCCTTTGCCAAGGATGGTCTCTGAACTACACCAACAAGCTGTTTTGGGACAGTGTCAACACCAATTAGCAACCCGGCTTGCCAACTGGGACCCAGACCACTTCAGCCTCTTGGACAATAGAAGCAGCGGAACTGAAGATGGTCCAAACCGTTGGCCTTAGATTGGGGTGGGTCACCTAGACAACATTCATGGGCTACGTAGCCATTAAACAAATTAAAACACCTATTAAGAAAAGGACTCATTGTTCGTAAATTATGAAATTAGGTGATGACAAAGGAGTACCTCAAACTCAAAGTGCTACCTTATGGCATCAGTTTCAGGGGTGACGGGTTCTGAACTGGCATTTCCACTTTTAAAAAGTCAGCTAAACATTTTATTCTCATACATTACAGTCAGTAACATTCACAGAAAATTGCACAGGTCTTTCAAATAAAGGGAGGAAAAAAGACAGACATATTCTGAAAAAGCTAACACCAAGAAAATGTTTTAATTAAACTATAGAAACAATGGTTATAGTACAGAATATTTATGAGCAAAAAAGATACACCATGTTTTAAGTACTTACAAAGTTACAAACCATTTGCTTCCTTAACATTTTTCATATTTTAAGTTCATACATGAAGATGATCATTTTTACCATTTGGTGGAGTGGGGGTAGGAAAAAAAAGGTGTATTTATCACCAGCTAGATGTGCTCACTGTATGCTCCGTAATTTATATGCAAGGCCCGGGTGACTGGAAGTGCAGTTGTCAGGCATTTTAATAAACTGGACAGCCATTTGTTTCTGCACGACAAGGCATCTTTACACAGGAGCAACCGGGAGAAAACAGGAAACAGCCAAGCACTCTGCACTGCAACACGCCACCTTAACAGCTAACCAGCATTACTCAACTGCTACACAACTGCGCCTAGTGCACAAAAATACACAAGAGAAGAGATTAGAATTGTGTTTGGTAAACAATCCTTAAAAAAAAAAAAAAAAAAATCAAGTCTTTTCACCTGAAGTCTTTATACAAATTTGGGTTCAGATTACCATTTAGATCTGTAGGCAAGTAACATAAACAAACAAATTTACACCGTTTGTAGGTTTTTAATTCTAAGGAATGAAGGCAATGCTGAGTCAATCTCTTGACAGCTTTAGGCTGTGCGTAATGGCTGCATGTTTCCTTAAAAGTCAGGAGGCCACAAATTTGGTTTACCAATCTGTTTAATTTCAAACAAAAAAAGTCAGCACTATATAAACAAAAAAGAAATTTTACCTCAAATATCCAAGCCAATAATGAAATCTGAAGTTCGTTCACCTCACTAAATTACAAGAAATTTGAATAACAGCAACAAAATGGCACATAAAATGAAGCTTGCCACCTGAGACAAAGCTTGAAACAAGTAAAAAGTTAGACAAAATGTTACAAAATAACCTTTTTCAATAGCCAGTTGCTTGTTCCAAGGACTCTGTGATGGACTGAGCATGTGGTCCTTCTCCCCAAGGTGTCTGTCACGTTGCTTGTCGCCACATCTAGGTTTGAAAAGAAGCAAGTTCAGTTTGCCCCCCAGCACGGCCGCACATGCAGTGCACAGGGCTTCAACCTCGGGCTGGTACTTACTAAGTAAGGCTCCGGTGAAACAAGGCGGTTACAGAAAGGTTCCACCCGGCCATTCTCACAATTTTTTAAAGGCCCAAATTAGGAAATATTCACAAAGGCTACCATCAGCATTTACAAGTTTGTGCTTTCTTGGCCAAATAACCAAGATGAAAAATATTAAGGGGGGAAAAAGAAAAAAAGAAAAGAAAAAAAAGGGGGGGGGGGCTGTGTCCAAATAGCCAAACAAAACAACGTGAAATCAGAAAAACCAGTCTATGTTTCAAGATAAATTTAGTTTTCAAACAAAACTTTTGGCAATTGAGAACAATGCTTTAACATCTGAGCTACTCAGGGCCCTTCCTTGTAAAAAATAGGACCAAACAATTTGAGTTAAAGACACACTATCCTTTCCCCACCCGGTGCAATACCTGCAAATTTTTTTTGGGTTCCAAAGTTCATTGCTTCTTTTTTGCGATTCGTTTGCCACATCCGTTAGAATCGTTTATCCCAGTCAGTACAACAATAGTTGAACTGACAGTTTTCTCTAAGAGGATAGTGCATCTTTAACATTTAAAGACAAACCTGCTCCAATACACGCCCACAGAAACTGGTCCCTGGAGGATCAGCCAAATCAGTTAAAATCTGCAATACTGGCCAATATTCTTTTATCAAACAGGAGACCGCAGCTTTAAAGGGGAAAATGCAGACGTTGGATAAAAACAGCAAGAAATAGTCATTTTCATTAATAGGTCTCAAACAGTTTATGAAACAGCCATAAATATCTAAGCTTTACACACATCCTTTCTGCAGACCCCTCTCTTCCGTATCACTCCCAAAGCCGAGTTAGCGCAGAGCAGCACTCCCAACATCGGGAGTCATTTTCTACTAACACGGACCAGAAAAGCTATCCCAAACCCCATCTCTCAGCTCGGGTCATGTGTCTCGGATCCCCGTGGACATTACCGTTTGCTTAAGAGGACACCGCTCCTTCCTCCTCCGGAGACTTGGGGGGACTCTTGGAGCGCGACCTGGACTTGGACTCCCTCTTGGACACGGGTGGAGGACTCCTGGACCTAGACCTGGATCTGGACCGCGAGCGAGATCTGGAAACCGAGGAGGACTTGGACTTGGATCTTCGCGCCGACCTGGATTTGGAGGTTGACCGCGATCTTGAGCGAGTGCGAGACCGAGACTTGGAGCGGCTGTAGCGAGATCGACTCCGGGACCTGGACCGGCTCCGACTCCGGGATCGGCTGCGGCGACGCCGCCTCGGGCTGCGGGCGGAAACAGCAAGCGTCAGGGCTCCGCGATGGGCCGCGCCCCGCCCGCCCGCCATTATCTCGCCGCCAGGCGCCATTTCCCTGGCCGCGCGCCGGGGTCGCTCAGGCCTGGAAAGGCCCGCCCGCCCGCCGCCGCAGCGGGGGCACCGCGGGGTGGTCGGGTGGGTCGCAGGATCGCGGCGAGCGACCGGGAACTCGGCCCGCCACCACGTGTCTCCGAGAACCTTTGTGAGTCAGCTCAGGGCCCCTCCCCATTTACCTGCGGCTCCGACGTCCGTAGCCGCCACCCCCGTACCTGCGGGGTGGCGGTCCGCGGCGGCTGTGGTGCGAGTCTGGGGGACGGCCGTAGCGCGCCATCTGCACCCGCAGCTCGCGGCCATCCAGGACGGCCCCGTCCATGGCATCCATGGCGTCCTCAGCGTCGCGCTTGTCGTGGAAGCGGACGAAGGCGAAGCCGCGGGACTCCTTGGTGTAGCGGTCCCGCGGGATATACACGTCCCCGACGCGCCCATACTTCTCGAAGACGCGCCTCAGAGTGTCGGGCGAGGTGCGGTAGGTCAGGTTGTCCACCTTGAGGGAGGTCATGCCCTCCACATCGGGAGGCGGACGGCCGTAACTCATGGCTCGAGCGAGTCGGCCGGGCCCTCAAACTGCGTGCCTAAAAAAACTAACGCCCTGAGCGCGTTCGGCCGAGGCGGCGGCCGTTTCCCCACACTAGCTGGGCTCGACGCCGCGCCTCGCCCCTGGCAGTTGGCTTCCTCGTGGAAACGTTTCTTAAAGTCCAACAAACGACGAGAGCGGCCTACTACCGCAGCACAGAAGCAACTGGGCAAGCGGCCAACCCCAGTGCATATTTATAGTCCTTCTCACAAAATGGCGCCCGCGCCACCCACAAATGAATCCTCAGATTGGCTGGTCCCGCAACGTGCCTGCTGCGTGCCCCGCCTCTTTCTGGCGCGCCTGCGCAGAGCCGGGAAAAGCGCGAAGTCACTGCTGCTGGGAGGGGGGAACCGCGCCTGCTGGCAGTTGGAAAGCCCGCGAAACGCTCCTTCCGGCCGGGTGCTCTGGGGCTGGAGGAAGAAGAGGTGTTCCCCTTTTGGGCCCCGCCTTCTTTTCCATGCTGGTATCCGACTTCCGCGCAGCTTTTCGGCTTGGCCCTCAGCTCCGCCTCAGTTAGAAGGCATACCCCTTCCCCTACTTGCGTCTCGGTCCCCCATCGCCTCAGACCCCGCTATGTGGTCTCCAGGCCCCACCTCGCACTCCCCCGCTCTTTCGCTAGACTCCGCTTTCAGCCCCCCCTTGGCCACCCTCAGCAGGCTCGACTCCACTCCCTTCGGGCCATCGAGCTCTCGCGACGTTCCTGCCATTCTCGGGCTGCGCAGAACTGCATTTCCCAGCGCGCCGAGCGGGCGGTGCCCGGACTGCGGTCAGGTGACATGGTTCTCTGACCTGCGTTGCTTCAGGGCCGGTTCGCGCGGGCGGGGCCGCGCTGGCCTCTGCAGCTCGCCCTTGGCCCCTAATTCCCCCTCGCCGGTCCCCCAACCTAGAGCGACAACGGTCTTGGCGCGTCTCCCGGTGTCGGACTCTTCCCTACCCGGGTCGTATCTTAGGAATGTCCTAATCGTGCCGGTGGGGAGAACTGCGCCCGACGCCCGGGATTCTGATCCAAGAACTGGAAGTCGACTGCCTGGATACTTTGCTCCTGGGTCCGCCCGCCTCCTGTCGCCGCCTCTTCAATTCCCCAGGACTGGCAGTGGGCTCGCCCGAGGAAAGCTGACTGCCCAGGCCTGCTGCTGACCTCCGGCAGAGCTGAGCCACAATGTCCCCGGAATCTAAAAAGCTTTTCAACATCATTATTTTAGGGATTGCCTTTATGTTTATGTTCACCGCCTTTCAAACTTGTGGAAATGTGGCGGTGAGTTGGGATCTGCTGTTTCTCCTTTGAAGTGCCTCTCATACTGAGTTCCAAAAAGGCTAATGAACATTATTATCCCCCACCAGCGCGCTTCAATTGCGCCTTTTATTTTCACAGGTTTCCTCGTTTGTTTATGATTTGGTTTGGTTTCATGTATCAGACGTTTCTCTTTACTGTATGGGGATGTGAAACATTGCCGTTTATTCCTCTGTTTTGGCTTTGGGTTTATATGTTGACCTATTTTCTTTTCCTGCACTGAGGTCTGCACTGAACTTAGCGAGTTCAGGCAGCAAACCCCAAGGCACAGTTTAAGTCCCCTCCCTGCTGCCCCTTGTTGGTTTGTCTTCTGTTCTGTAGTCCTTTTCTTCTCTCATAGTTAGTTCAGTACTAGGTATTGAGCATCTTCAGTTTCTACTTCATTCTCAGTATTTGGAGACTTTCCAGGGGGAGGGAGGTTGCAAAACCGCTTCCTTTGGTTGTTGATTAGTTTTCTCTTCCACACAGCAAACTGTCATCAGGAGCTTAAATAGCACCGATTTCCACGGCAGTGGATATACCAGGTATCGTATTGTATAATGAATTTTCCTTTTTACATTACAGCGATTGCTTAAATCCCATCAAAATCACGGGCAGTAAAATACTGTGAATGAATGAGTAGCGACTGCTCTTCTCTATTTAGATTATTTGGGAGAATATAATAGAATGAAGGGGACAAGTGTTGGTTCCAGGTTTGAAATCCTGGTGGCTTCACAGCTGCACTGCTGCGTTATCATAGGCGAGTCACTTTGATGAATCGGTTTCCTCGCTCAGCTAATGCCCATGAAGCACCTGGCACAGCACCGGACATTTAATAAGCACTCAAGTGTTGTCACATTACAGCTTCCCGGTCTGCAGCAGAGGAGGTCTTACGTGACTTTGAAACATTTGGTCTTTCTGTTTTGGTAATGTCATGATTCATGTGCTGTCGTCAGGAGCTTTTGGATTTTCATTAAGGTGGTTAGTCCCCATTTTGCACATGCAGTAAACGAAGTTTGCAAACGAAAAGACCATTGTAAGTCACTGGTGCTCGGTGACAGGAGCTGGGAGTGTCGTATGTGCCTGATTCAGAGCTCACCTGGGTCCCTTAATTTCTCTGTACTGAGAGAGCGGGTTGTGGCCAACGCCCTCCCACCTGTGCTCCCCCTGCACCCCAACCCCGTCGAAGTCAAACTCGATTACCTATCCTAAGCCTGACCTCATATGTGATGTTTGAGAGTAATGGGATGTGAATGTCCATTTTTCTAAAGGATTAATGATGCCCTAACTTTCTGTAGTGCTTTGTATTTTGCATAATCTAGAGAGCAAATGAAAGAATGTTTGAGAGATTCATAAATGTCAAAGAATAATTTACTTTGGATTTATAAGTGGTGGTTGAATTCAGGACTTTCAAAATGGTTTTAGTCACACTTTGTCACAAGACCGGGCTGGGTCTGTAGTAGCTAAACAATATTCCTTGAGACCATTAGGTTGAACTAAATAAACTCTGGCTTAAGCAAGTTTTCACTCTGTGCCTGTTATTTTTAGCAGTGCATGCTGTTGCCAGGAGTTGTAGGCTAAGTTTGTAGAGCAGACTGGCGGACTAGGGCCTTGGGAGTCAGATTCCCAGGTACGGGCCCCTGGCCCCTCTTCCCCCGTTCACCAGGTGTCCGAGTGGGCTTTGGCCAGGTGAGTTAGCCCCTCAGTTTCAGTTATCTTTTCCGTAAAATGAGGACAACAACTATACCTTCTTCGCAGAGCTGCAGGATTAAAGGACTTGGCACAGTGCCTGGTACTGTTATGTGTTAGCTGTTAGGGTAATTTACCAGTACATCAAGACCACGTCATCCAAGGCAGACTCGTTCAAAGAAACATTTGGTGGGCCGCCAGTGTTTTGTACAAGTGAGAACTTTTAATACGGTGTTCGGTGTAGGACACGCTTGTCATGGATGCTAAAGAAGTGAATGCTCACTGCGGACCACCTGTAGGCTGAGCACACTGGGGAAAGCGAACTCTGAGACAGTGCCTCAGGAGCTCGGCTTAGTCTCTGCGTGTTGTGTCTGCAGCATGGCAATTATTTACGGCGTGTTCTCCGCTTCGAACCTGATCACGCCCTCGGTGGTGGCCGTCGTAGGACCTCAGCTCTCCATGTTCGCCAGTGGGTTATTTTACAGGTGAGTAGCGTAACTGTCTTTCACGCATCTTCCTTGGGACACCTTCAGCCTCTTTCAGGCACACAGTAAGCCTCTGACAGGGACCTGCCAACTCAGACTGAAGAGAACGGAGCCGCTAATTTAGGGATTTGGCGAGTTCTTGACGCCCGGGATAACAGAGTTTTGATGCGGCTGGGTGTGTGTATGTTTGCGTTTGTTTTACTGGTAATAGAAATAGTATCCAAAAGTCTCTTTCCACAAGAGTCGAAAAGAACTTCCCATGAAACATTACATTTTATATCAAGTTGACTAACAGGAATTCAAGTGACATACTTAAACTTTTCTTGTGGGCTATGCAATTCCAGGCCCATCGTGGGCTATGCTCTTGGCAAAAGCCAACTGCAAGCCTTTTTGAGTGTGCAGTTTTACAAATTTGAGCTAGTAAACTAGGGAATGAGTAAGTAGGTCACGCCTGTCCTTTTTTATCTGGCTTTGTTTTCAACCCCAGAGGATTCCTGTGCGTTGATCCCTGGAAGGCTTGCGTGGCGTGCTGTTTCGGGTGTTGTTTGACTGTAATGCGTTGTTGACCTGTTATGTTTTAGCATGTACATTGCCGTTTTTATCCAGCCTTTCACGTGGTCCTTCTACACAGCTTCGGTTTTCATCGGAATTGCGGCTGCGGGTGAGCATTCTGATGTTTATTTTCTCCGGTTTCTGGGGCTTTGCTGAGAGTCACATTTGTGCATTTCGCATGTAAAGCTAAAGGATTTCATTCCCCTGATAACCTGTGGTTTGGATTTTAGTACTTTGGACGGCACAAGGAAACTGCCTGACCATAAATTCAGATGAGCACACCATTGGGAGAAACAGCGGGATTTTCTGGGCACTCCTACAGTCTAGGTAGGATTTAAGAAATAATTCTTTTACAGCTCAATCTTTCCTGTAATTTTTTTTTGATCACATGACAGTTTTAGATCTTTGTTGTGTTGAAAACCCAGATCTGTGTTATATGTCTTAAGTTCCTGGCTGCATACAGATTAAAAGTTGTATGAAATTACTTGTAATGCACGGATCAACCTCAAATGCATCGGAACTTATGAGTACTAGATAGAAACTAATAGTAACCATAATACATTTAGCATTGGCTATATTTCCAATGCTAATTGGACTATATGGGACTGTTGGGTCCATTACTTAATTTCAGTGGTCTTTACAATCTTATGAGATGAGAAGACACACAGAGGAGAAAAGAGAGACTTAAAAGTTAAGTAACTATCTGATTTAAACCATCATTATCTGCATTCCAGAGGCCTCAACCTTCTGACCAAGCTGGTGGCCTGATAGCTGTTAACAAATACCTATCTAAATCTACATTGAACTACACAGGTTAGCTGTTTCCTCAAATCAGCCACAGTCATTATGCCTCCCAGTCTGTCCTGAGGATGGACCCTCCTGGATCCCACCTGAAATTTTGGCTTGAATAAGGCTTAACACATGCAGATGTTTGTTTTTAAGGGACTGGATATTAAGGGAGTACAGTGTGAGTGATTTCCTCTCTAGGAAGTTGGCAAAAAGTACCTGATTAGGTGCAGATAACTAAGTCACAGGATTTTTTCAGAGTTTCTGAAATAGATTTTAGAAGTAGCATGCACTTGTTTCCAGGGAGTCACTTCCAGTGTTCCAGGAATAAGTCACAAGTTTTGGCGTGAGTCAGGACGCCTTCAAAGGGCAGTTCCACGTCAGGTCACTGTCACGTGAGCGAGGCCGCACTCCGTCTGGGTCAGCTACGTGTTTCAGGAAGACTCGGGGTGGGGCCGGCACTTTTAAATGATCTGGGGCAGGCGGATACTTCTAAATTATGTAATGCCTCCAGCTTTCTCTCTCTTTTTAACAAATAATGGAGAAATTCTTAGAAAACTAGAAATATGAAAGTAATTTCCCAACATTCTTGTCTTCCTTTTTTCCCTCAGCTTGTTCTTTGGAAATCTCTACATATATTTTGCTTGGCAAGGGAAAACTCAAATATCAGGTTTGTTTTACGCGGATATTTATAAAGTATAATAGCAGTTTCACAAAAATACCCGTTGTTGCTTTGTTCCCAATTGTTCTGATGAACCTTGGTGCCTTAAGTCTTCTCAGATTTTAGCTTTTAGTAACTTTTCCCTTGGATTGTATTATGTCGCTGGGATTGTAGCTAATGACTTCCAGCGGCCTCTCAGGGTGTGGGAGGGCTATGCTGTGTATGTGAGTATCTGAGTCAGTTGTCAGACTTTTGAGTTCTTAATTGTTTTGTCTGTATACTTCTTTGATGAAAAGAATATGATTAAGTTATTGTGCTTTTTTTGTTTTATTTTTGCTTATTAGTTTTTCACTGGAAAAGAAAAGTGGGGATATCTCATTTCTCTCCTTGCCCTAGGTTTTTACTGATGCAATAAAGTAAAAAAAAAAAGTTTAAATATTTTAAAAAATATTTACGCAGTAGCTCTGAACATCATGCTGACTCTGCAGTTGTTTGTGTGGTCACCTCTGTCTGCTTTCTTCTCCCCCCGCCCCCAGAGAGTGACCGGAGAACAGTGTTTATTGCCCTGACAGTGATTAGCCTCGTGGGGACTGTTCTTTTCTTCCTCATTCGGAAACCAGATTCTGAAAACATCCTGGGAGAGGATGAATCTGCCGATGACCAGGACCTGGAAGTCAATGAGTAAGAAGTTGGAAACATTCCTTTTCTTTGTTTCGGAAATATGTTTTGAGTAGATCTAGACTAGAGGTTACCAGCCTTTAAGCCCAAGTGATATTTGATACTGGGGGACAGGAGGGAAAAGTTTTCAAGCAAATCAGGGAAAGAAGATAAAAGGGAGGAAAAAGGAAAAGAGTGGGAGGTAGCCGCGCCCACCCCACACCTACAGGACCTGGGAGCTCACTTTAGAATTCCTGTCCTGGAAATGGCTCCCCTTGCTGCCGCGCCGGCCTGAGCTGGCAGTGAGCGGTGTGTACCCGAGTGCCCGCCGCACTGACCGTGTGTCGATTAGTCTACAGAGGATGTCAGTTTGCCTCGTTTGAGGCCTGAGTGGAAGGTGTTTGGGCTCACGTCCGACTGGCCAACTGCAAGATGGGGGTGCTATTTACGAAATTGAGTCCGAGGGGTTACTTGCTTTCAGGGAAGGCCTGAGTTTTTAAGGTGAGGAAAAAAGTTGTGCTGTTGGTTTAGAACATACTACCTTTTTTGTATCAGTCATTTATTTATTTAAATCAACTAGCTCTCCACTAGATTTCTTTATTTGTTTTTTGGTTTTTGGGGTTTTTTTGTAATCAGTTTAAGACACAGGAGAAGTAGGTATTGCCCTTTTGACTAGTGGGCTAAGAAAGGTAATCTTTAAAACAATTTTTAAAATACTTATTTATTTTTGGAGAGATGGAAAGGAGGGAGAAAGAGGAGAGAAACATCAACGTGTGGCTGCCTCCTGTGCACCTCCAACTGGGAACCCGGCCCACAACCTGGGCCTGTGCCCTGACTGGGAATTGAACTGGCCACCCCCTGGCTTGTAGGCCAGCACTCAATCCACTGAGCCACACCACTTTAGCCAGGGCTAAAAATAAAATTTTTTAAAAACTTTATTTATTGATTTCGAGAGAGAGAGAAAGAGAGTGCGAGAAACATCGATTTGTTGTTCCACTTACTGATGCATTCATTGGTTGCTGCTTGTTCGTGCTCTGAGCCCCGACTAGGGATTGAACTTGGCAACCTTGAGCTGCCAGATGATGCTCTAACTAGCTGAGCTACCCAGCCAGGGCAGGAAGTGCAGTCTTAGTTAAAATCTTTCTTACCATAGTCATAACAAAAAAACTACACTTAAATTACGTTAGGTTATTTAATTCTCACGGGGAGTGGTAGTGTCCCTGCTGTTTAAGTGAGGAAGTGAAGCACTGGAATGAAGCGCTTGTTCAGAACCCTGCAGTTAATAAACGATGACGCAGTGCTCAGGCCTCCGAAGCCCACGTGTTCCACCGACAGGTCCGATGGAACACATCGTGAACCACAGGTGACAGTGCTGCTTTGAAGAGTTTCAAAGCTGAAGAACTTATTTTTACAGAGTAGGCGTGGCGGAAATTGAATTCCCACAGGTGGTTTTTAAGGGTGAAGCTAGCTCGGCGGAGCAGGTTTCTGTGAAAACTGAATGCGTGGACATGGGATGAAAGAATTGTGTCCCATGTTAATGAAGAGCCACCCAGGGGGCACTTTGACCACGTGCTCCGAGGCAGGGACATGGGTCATGAGGGGACTCCCGGAGCCCACAGCACCAAGGGCACTAGAAGTGTTTGCCAGGCCATGCAGAGGACAGGACTTTCACAAACTTCAGTAAAAATGTGATAGGGGTTTTTTTGTTGTTCTCTTTTCAATTTCCTGGGGATAAAAGCTTATGTTTTTCTTTTCTGTTACCAGGTCTGCCCAGAACAATATGACAAAGGCAGCAGATGCATTTAGTAAGTATTTTCTAAGTACTTCTGTGTCTGAAGTTCGAGAACCAACAGTTTGGGAATGACGTTGGCATTGGCCCGTCCCTTTTCCCTGCTCACTTTGGGTTGATGGTACCCCGGTATTTTCATTTTTCCGGGTAGGCAGCATATCAGGAAAAGTGAAATACCTCCATAGCGTGGGGACGGGAGGGGTGGAGATGACGTCCTGAGCCTGCCCGCATGTGCAGAGAACTCAGGAGTTGGGTGTCACGTGAGAAGGTGAGGACGCAGACCGTGTGATCGGGCACCTTCTCCCTCCTCAGGAGGGAGCAGCGCTCTGGTGACCCAGGAGTGGCGGGAACAGCCGGGCTGTCTGTGCAGGGTCCTTCCAGGCTGACCCTCTGGGTGTTTCATTCTCACAACAAATCCGTGTGTTATGTAGCACGCACGATACAAGCTGTGGATACAGCCTATCCTTGTCTCCATTTTGGAGAAGAGAAACTGGGGGTTAGAGAATTACCTACCCAAGGTCAGACAGCGAGCGCAGGACTGAGCTGGGATTTGAGCCCAAACTGTCTGACAGGCAGAGCCGGCGATCCCTGTCCCGTGGCCTCTTCAGAGTTGGGAAGGCACAGCTCCTGCGAGTGAGGAGGCCTGGTGTGGGTCGCTGCTTTGCTCCGCCTGCGGCTCCACCGCTTTGTCTCCAGAGGAGGGAGAATCTGACCATGGCGGCTCTTCTCTGGGAGGGAGCGGCCTTTTGGGGGCCCTGCTCTCAGGGACAGTAAGCCCCTCGTCGGCCCCTGGCCTCGTGCTCCTGTCTGACTGGCGGGCCCATGGGTTGCCCGAGGCCAGGGTGCAAATTCTCCATGTCCCCTACCAGGGCCAGATGACACAAAGCACGCTGGCTTTTGGCCGGGCATTCCTGCAGCCTGTTTTCAGAAAGGCCCGTGGCGGGGGAATCCGCCTGTGCCTGGCACACGTGTGTGCCGTTGTGAGGGCTGTTTCGTCAGGCTTTCCTTGTGTGCGTTTCTTCTGTTTCAGGAATGCCTTCATGATTATCCATTAGGCTACGTGTTGTAAAGAAAAGGGGTGTGGCCTGACTGTCCCCCAGCAAGATGGGAGGTCGCCAGTCAGAGGTCTGGCTTTGAGCTTTGCAGGTCTAGAAGCTTGCTTGTCAGAACCCCCAGTGGGGCCCTGGCCGGGTAGCTCAGCGGTTAGAGCGGCATCTGACACCCCAAGGGCGAGGGTCCAATCCCCAGTCATGGCGCGTGCCAAGAGCAACCAGTGAATGCATCGAAAATTGGAACAATAATAGTCAGTGCGTCTCTCTGTCTTTGGGAACATTTTTTAAAATTGTGTGTGTGTGTGTGTGTGTGTGTGTGTGTTTTAAATAGCCTTCATTTTTTAGAGCAGTGTTAGGCTCACAGCAAAATTAAAAGGAAGGTACAGAGATTTCCCATGTACCCCACGTCCTCACACATGCACAGCCTCGTTCATTGTCAGTGTCATCCCCGGGAGAGAGGGGTACCTTTGTCACAGTTGACAGCCCTGCATTGACACGTCACTGTCACTCGGCATCCGTAGCTTCCACTGGGGTTCACTCTTGACCTACGTTGTGTGGGTTTGGGAACGTGTGTTGGCATGTCATTGCCTTATTGCACCATACTAGGTTATGTTTTAAATTTCTTCTTGTTAGCTAAACCTTCTGATTATTCAAAAACAAACCTGCCCTGTTAATATAATTTTTTTAATTAAAATTTTGTTTTAGCCCTGCCCAGTGTGGCTCAGTGGATTGAGCACCGTCCTGCGAACCAAAGGGTCACTGGATAGATTCCCAGTCAGGGCACGTTCTTGCATTGTGGGCCAGGTCCCCCATAAGGGGTGTGTGGGAGGCAACCACACATTGGTGTTTCTCTCCCTCTCTTTCTCCTTTCTCCTTTAAATTGTCTCAAAATTTCTTTTTTAGATTTTATTTATTTATCTTTAGAGGGGAAGGGAAGGAGGGAGGGAGAGAAATATCAATGTATGGTTGCCTCTCGTGAGTCCCCTGCTGGGAACTGGCCTGCAATCCAGGCATGTGCCCTGACTGGGAATCGAACCTCAATCGTGTGGTTCACAGGCCCGCGCTCAATCCACTGAGCTACACCAGCCAGGGTTGTTTCAAACTTTTTATTGATCATGTATTTTTTTCTGGAAGTGTGAAAGTGATCTGTAGAAATACTGCATTTAGTCTGTCTATATATCAGTGAAATTAGAAAAGTATCGTCTTTGTACGTGGAGAAATTCAGGACAGAGTGTTTGTGACTTAAATCAGTTTCACAGCCAGCAGTTGAATAAGAAGTAAAATCTGCGTCCACTATCAGTTTAGGGCACTAGAGGACTGGCCTTAAATTATGAAATGTGAGCCAGTTTAGAAAGATGGTTAAAACACAGTTTTAGGAATGCATTTTCCGTGGCAGATCTCCACTAAATTGAGCAGCATGAAAACAAACAGGAAAGCAGCCGTAACCAAATTGCAGAACTAGAGTTTTGTCCTCAGACCCGAGTGCGAATCGCAGGAAGTATGTTCCAGCTGCTGTGTGGTCAGGAAGCTTCGGCAGTTCTGATCTTAGTCCAGCCTCAAAGCTGCTCTGCAGCGATAATTCCTCCAGGAAGCTAGCACCTCGCCAACCATCGGTTCCCGGAATAGTCCGACCTGTGATCGGGGCTGTTAGAACATTCTGGTGTTTTGTTTGAGTCTATTTCTTTTCTCCATTTGGTGTTTGGTTGTGTGTGTGTGTGTGTGTGTGTGTGTGTGTGTGTGTTTTCTTTTTAGAGCTGGAGACTGTGTTGGAGAAAACACGACTCTAGAATATATTTAAACGGTTGAAATAAGCAGGTTATTTATAGAGCAGATTTAGTTCATACCTTAAGCATTTTAATCTGAATCCCTAACTTCTGTTCCAGTGTTTGTTTACTTGCATTATTTTTTTTCTTTTTTATTTCTTTGTGACTTATTTGCTTTATTGATCAAGGGGCATTTTGGTTGAATAAAGGTTTTAGAATTTTTGTTTGATTAATTGAAATTGAGGCAAGTACTCCCCAAAATGTTTCTTTCTTTCTTTCTTTCTTTTCTTTTTTGTTTTTACAGAAAAGTCTCTTAAGTTATGTGTTACCAAGGAGATGCTCCTTCTTGGCATTACAACTGCTTATACAGGTAAGCTTGTAAGTGACTTTTGTTTTGTTTTCTGTTGCTGAATAGTGACAGTAAGGGCTAAAAACAGCCACCACACTGTTCTTTCTCACAGTTGTGTGCATTGCCCGGGATCGGCGGAGTGCTGCTCGGGAGGTCCCGGTGGGGGTCTCCTGGGGAGGAGCCTGGTCCAGAGAGTCCCCTTTGCTTATCCGAGGGGGTCAGATCGCAGGCCAGGTCTGTCTGTCTCCAGGTGTCTCTGGCCGGCTGCAGGGCCCCATCCCACATGATTCCTTCCAAAAGGAGCAGAAGGAGGAACAACCAGGCCCTAAGCTGGCCTGGCACCTGCCCAGCTTCACCTCCACTGCAAGGCACAGGGCCACCCACACTCCGTGGGCGCGGTTCATCCCACCCATGATTTTAGGGCAGAGTGGAGCACTACAGAAAGTCACAGGAGTGAACCTTTGTTGCTTTGTGTGGATCAAGGAGATTCTCAATGAGAAGGAATGAGCTCTGTGGCTCACTACCAGTGTGTGATGTGGTAACGGGTGGAGGGTTTTTAGGTCTTAAGAATGGCGAGAAAATCTGTTTTGTCCTAAAAAGCACTGTGATGCCCTGGCTGATCTAGCTCAGTGGATTGAGCACCACTGGCCTGTGAACCAAAGGGTCGCTAGTTTGATTCCCAGCCAGGGCACGTGCCTGGGTTGCAGGCCAGGTCCCCAGTAGGGGGCATGCAAGGGGCAACCACACATTGATGTTTCTCTCCCTCTCTTTCTCCCTCCCCCTCTCTCTAAAAATAAATACACAAGATCTTTTTAAAAATTATCTTTTTTTTTTAAATTTTATTTATTTATTTTTAGAGGGGAAGGGAAGGAGAAAGGGAGAGAAACATCAATGTATGGTTGCCCTTTGCGCATCCCCTGCTGGGAACTGCCCTGCAGGGAACCGGCCTGCAACCCAGGCATGTGCCCTGACTGGGAATCGAACCTCAATTGTCTCGTTCGCAGGCCCGAGCTCAATCCACTGAGCTATACCAGCCAGGGCTAAAAAATTATCTTTAAAAAAGTACTATAACGTGCCAATTTTCACTTTTGTCCTTTTCTGCCTCATAGGCATAAGAAAATTTTTTAGGAGAAATCGAATAAATAGTAAACATCTTTAAAATTCAGAAAAGGTTTGTAACATTTAGGAATCAGGTCTTCTACTGATCTACCCTAATTTTTTGAATTTTTTTCCTGGGAAAAAGGGTTTAATTAAAAGGTTATTATGTCTTTAAGCAAAGTAGATAGTACGCACTGGTTTTCCAAATGGACCTTCCTATGCCCTCAGAAAGCTGTTACAGGTTTAGGTCGGTCGTAGCCTCGGCTCGTGTCCCGTCCACACACAGAGGGACGGCTTCTAACACAAGGATGTCTTTACCTCTCTGAATTCAGACATGTTCATCTGAAACGTGACACCTGCCACCTTGTGGCTAATTCCACGTCATCCGTTCTGCGGCATAAATGCCCACTGTGCTCAGGGGCCACGTTTCACCCTGAATGAGTTTGTGTGTTTACGTTGGTTCAGTGTGTGCAAAGCTCAGATACTACGGGGCATGAAGCCAAATGGGAATGGGAGGAAGCAAACTTGTAATTTAAATCTGATTTTTTTCCTGAAGGTCTGGAATTGACTTTCTTTTCTGGTGTGTATGGAACCTGTATCGGTGCAGTAAATAAATTTGGAACAGAAGAGAAGAGCCTCATTGGACTTTCCGGCATTTTCATCGGCATTGGAGAAATTTTAGGTTAGTTTGGAAAAAAAAAAGTTTTGCATTAAATTAGTTCAAGTTATAATAGAAGTTTTAAGTGTACTTTACCTCTCTGTTCTCAAATTTCTATTTCCTGCTTATTTTTACCCAGATGGGTATGTCTTTGTTTTTTATTGTTACTGTTTTAAGAGAACTGAATTATAAGACATTTGCCAAATACTTCACAGGCAAAACCATACATAGGAAAACACGTGGTCTGTCCTGGCTTTTCCTCTTAAAAGGACAGTGTCTTGGGGTCCCTGACTTGCTCGTTCTCTGACTGTCTTGACACCAGCTGGGTGTTCAGCAGTCGGGTCCAGTTCTGACTCTGCCTCCCGGAGTTAGCGTCACACTGCACGGATTCAAGGGCATCTGCCCGCACTTCAACAGGAAGTTCTGGGTCCCCAGACCACCCATACTTCTGTCCAACTGGGCTGTGAACTCCGGGGTTCCCGCAGCCCCCAGAAAAATGTTATACTTGACATGTTACTGTAAAGAACAGAAACGCGCAGCCCACTGAGGCACACAGGACAAAGTCCTAAAGGGTCCCAAGCGCAGGAACCTCTGTCTCCATGGAGTGGGGTGTGGCACCCTCCGCGCATTTGGAAGCTCTCCCAAAACTGTCTTTTCAGGGCTTTGGCGGAGGTCCCCTCCTGCAGGCACAGTTGATTAAATCATTGGCCTTTGGCGATGAGCTCCGTCCCTAGTCCTCCTCCCCTCCCCCTGGATCGAGGGGCCGAGGCAAAGACCAAGTGTTCATTGCACCATGCCAGCTTCTCCCGGCTGAACGGAGGTTTCTTCAGCACAGTGTGTTGAATACTGCATCAGCTGCGAGGAACTTGCCCACAAATCCTCACTGCGGATCCATTGTGCGAACAAAGCGGACTCCCTGCCTGCACGGAGCTCACATCCTCGGGGAAGAACACAGCCAGCAAACACAGGGAACTAGACTGTCAGGGCCCGCGAGGAGCCCTGCGGAGACAGCGGGCTGCTGGTTTCTGTTCCCCGCTTTACTGCCCACGCCCGGGGCAGTGCCAGGCCCATCAGTGTCTGGACGCCTGGGGTGCGGTTGGAGACTTGTTGGAGTCTTTGCCCATCCTCCCCTCTGCGGCAGCCCTGGGGTGGGCCAGCTTGTTTATTTATTTCTTAGGACTTTATTGAGACGCACCGGCACTTCACGTGCCGTGTAAGTCACTCCTTCGAAGCGTTGAGGTCGGCGGTTTTCAGTGTTTTCCCACGGCTGTGCACCCATCACCGCAGGCTGCTTTCATAACGTCTCCCCCCCCCGTCCCCAGGCAGCTGCAGTCAGCCCGCCCTCCATCTCTGTAGATCTGTGTCACTGAAACGCCGGGCATGGCCTCTGTGTCTGGCTGCTTCTACTCAGCAGAGTGTTTTCAAGGTTTTTCCATGTTACGGCATGTATTCATTCCTCTTTCTTACCAGGAACGTTTAGTTGTATGGACATACACCACATTTTAGTCGTTCATCGTTGGATGGACATTGGGTTTGGGGCCATTTTGAACAATGCTGCTGTGAACATCTGAATTATTTATTTCCCATTTTTAAAGAGAAAGGGACAGAAAAGGGGAGAGAGAGAGAAACATCAATTAGTTGCCTCTCTCATGCCCCCAACTCAGGACCTGTCCGGAAACCCAGGCGTGTGCCCTGACTGGGAATCAAACCAGCGACCTTACAGTCCCCAGGCTGGCACTCAGTCCACTGAGCCGCACCAGCCAGGGCAGAATGAGTTTTGTGCGAACACATTTTCACTTCTCTTGGGTAGATGCCTACCCAGGACTGGAATCGCTGGGTCATGTGATAACTCTGCATCTGGCTGACTTTTCTCCTCAAGACGGGTCCCAGTTCCCTCCTCCTCTGCATGCCCAGCACTAGTGCAGATACCAGACATTGTGACCTTCACCTTGGGGGGTGCTGAGTGTTTCTGCGGTCCTCTGAGTACCCCTGACCTGTGTTCTTAGATTCCGTTCATTTGCTCGGAAAGGGACAGTGTGGTTCTTTCCGGTCCTGCTTTGTAAATGCGCTGTGTGGGCCGGGAGCAGTGCTCAGTCTGGGGCTGGGCCAGGTACGCCCCATGCGTGAGGGCGCACCCTCAGTGTGGGAATGCCCTGCTCTGTACCCCAGCTCGTGAACGAGATTTTCCATCTGGTGGGTGGGACCTGGCACTGTTCCCAGCCCAGCTCGGGGCACACTGCCTCTGACCCTGGTGGATGCTTCTTCCTGGTTCTCTGCTATTTACTCACATTCAGTGCTGGTCAGCACTTGGTGGAGATCAAGGGGTCGTCTGAGCAGCTGTTTGTCTGACACCCTGTCCTGGGAACTCCAGGTCCCTTGAGACCCCAGACTCTCAGCTCCACCTCCTTGGCTCAGGGGGTGGTGTCCTCACCTGCCTTCCCTCAGGCAGCCAGCTGGGTAGTCACAGGGCTCACTCCTTTGTTCCCTATCTCCCAGAGGGCAGGGAACAAAGTCACCCCCTGCTCTTTGGTGTGTGACATCTGTCCCATCTTCAAGTCCACTGCCACTTACTTTCTGTATATTTTTAAGGTAGCAGGTAGATCCAATCTCTGCTTTTCCATCTTACCTGGAAGTTTGTTCTGATTTTTAAAACAACTTCTGTTTCAATAGCTAGTCCTTATTTTATATGTTTTTCTTGATTAAATTAGCTATTGGTTTGTCCGCTTTATTTCTTTTTTCAAATCAAGATTTTGGTACATTAACTTGCTCACAGGTTGTTCTGTTCTCCACTCCGTTGATTTCATAGGTGGGAGCCTCTTTGGCTTGCTGAGTAAGAACAACCGTTTCGGGAGAAACCCGGTTGTGCTGCTGGGCATTCTGGTGCATTTTGTAGCTTTTTATTTGATATTTCTCAACATGCCTGGGGACGCCCCCATCGCCCCCCTCGAGGGGACGGACAGCCCTGCTTACATCACATCCAGGTACAGGGGCCTCTCTTCCTAGCAGTCTGGGGCGTTGGGGGTAGTGGACCCAGATCTTCAAAGGGGGGCGGCTGATTTCCTTCTGGGAAGTTGGTTTCTGTATAAGGCCACTTGTCGAGTGTAGCGGAGCCAGAAAGAGTTGAGAGCTCATTCTAATCCATATTTTACCTCTGCCTTTGTGAGCAGTGGGCTCTAGAAGTCAGGGCCTCCAGGAAGAGCAGTGAGGATCGAGGGGCAGCGCGCCCGCTGGGCAAGGCAGCTGGACTCTCACAGTTGACGCTGAATGGTTTAAGGGTGTTTTACTTAACTCGCAAAGTCGTCACGGACACATTCGTGACCAGATCCACAGTGTAAAGGCAGCCCTGCACGAAACAGTGTTTGCTTCCCAAACCCGTAATAGCTCGGGGTTTGCTAGACCGTGAACCTTAGTGCATTTTTTTTTAAGATTTTTTTTAATTTTTAGAGAGGGGAAGGGAGGGAGAAAGAGGGAGAGAAACATCAATGTGCAAGAGATACATTGATCACACCCTGGCTGGTGTGGATCAGTGGATTGGGCGCCGGCCTGTGAAGGAAAGGGTCGCCAGTTAGATTCCCAGCCAGGGTACGTGCCTGGGTTCTGGGCCAGGTCCCCAGTAGGGGGCGTGCGGGAGACAACCACACACTGAGGTTTCTCTCTCTTTCTCCTGTCTGGGAATCAAACCAACGACCTTTCCGTTCACAGTCCGATACTCGATCCACTGAGCCACACCAGCCAGGGTGTTTGAACATATTTGAATCATGAGTGCATTTGAACATAAGTTCTTCCTTTGAAAATTCCAGGATTTATTCTTGTTTCAGGGTGTTTAAAAGTTGGAGGGTAAAAGGCTTTTGTGGGTGAGTTGCTTTTACATTGTAAATGGCTCCGACAAATACCATCGATACTCATCCTAAATTAACTTTTATTTTGCTCAGCAAAGAAGTGGCCATCTTCTGCAGTTTCCTGTTGGGTCTTGGAGACAGCTGCTTCAACACGCAGCTGCTCAGTATTTTGGGTTTTCTCTACTCTGAAGACAGTGCCCCCGCCTTTGCCGTCTTTAAGTTCGTCCAGGTAAGTGCGCAGCAGATTGTGGGTCCTCTTGTCTCGGTGCTTTGGGTTCGGTTCCTTAACGTCTCCCAGAGGGGAGCAGGGCGGCCTCTCCGGGGCTTTGCGGTTAGAATCAGGAGGCAGCGAGCGCGGCGCGGGCCTCTCCCGTTTGTGAAAGAGATTGTGCGCGCTGGTGTCTCCGATGCAGATGAGCCGCTTCCTTCCTCAGATCCCTGGATTCGTCCACAGTGTGGACGCTCCTCACTGTGTCTGCACGGCCCTTTATTATTCCAGCTTTTCACAGGCCACTGTTTTGTTTATTTTTCAGAGACAGGGGAAGGGAAGGAGAAAGAGAGGGAGAGAAACATCAATGTGTGGTTGCCTCTCATATGTCTCCCACTGGGAACTGGCATGCAACCCAGGCATGTGCCCTGACTGGGAATCGAACCGTGATCGCACGGTTCGCAGGCCTGCGCTCCGTTGAGCTATACCAGCCAGGGCTCATAGGCCACTGCTTTAAATCGTAGATTGTAGATTGCTTGACGGTTACCAGCTTAGGAAGGGAGTTTGTGGAGCGTGTGTGCAAGCCAGTGACAGAGGCGTGCTTTCTAGGTGTAGAGAGACCGCCAGTCACAGAAGGTGGCAGGTCGGAGCGGGATGGGGCGCATGGTGCAGCGTGGGTCGCCGTGTGCGTGCTGTGACCCGTTCTTCTTTGTTCTTAGTCCATTTGTGCAGCCGTGGCATTTTTCTACAGTAACTACCTTCTCCTTCCCTGGCAACTCCTGATCATGGTGATCTTCGGGTTTTGTGGAACTGTGTCCTTCTTCGCCGTGGAGTGGGAAGCTGCTGCCATTGTCGCCCGGGGCTCCGACTACGGAAGTATCTGACCCAGGGAGCCAGCGACAGGAGGGAGGCCGCGCCCCTGCAGACTGCAGGCCGCAGGACGGAGCGCGGGAGGGGCTGCCGCCTTTGGCTTTCACTAGGCAGTGGAGGGCGCTCGGTGTGGCAGAATGGAAGTGGACGGCCCGGTCTGCCGGAGTTGGTGTTCGCGTTTACAGACGTTCACTCTTTAAAACCAGTGGGATGAGGGGGGCTTGTTCTGTCGATTATAATTGTTCAAAGGTGTTGTTTTTTCATTCATCTGCCCCAAGTTCCGTATAATCATGTTATCGAATGTAAATGTTTTCCTCCTCCTCCTGTCTCCTTGAATGATCTTGCCTTGATTCAGAATCCTCGGCCATGTGTCATGTAGAGACTCTCACTGGGTATCAAGTTATGTGCTTCTATGTAATGATAGGGAACATCTGCCACCCCACGTGTGTGTGTGTGTGTGTGTGTGTGTGTGTGTGTGTGTGTGTGTGTGGATGCCTCTGAAATAAACTGGAGACGCTGAAATGGAATCTTCTCTGTGAAAGGATTTGCACTTTCTTCCTCCTTAAATGTTTTGTTTGATAAGTTTTCTTACCCCGTAGTTCATAGGAATGAGTGGCTAGTTAACTATTGTAAAATGAGGCAAAAATTGTATTCAGTCTTAACAACAGGAATCCAACATTTGTGAATGAACAGAAACACTAAAATGCATGCACGCGCATGGCGCACACACACACACACTCTCTCTCTCTCTCTCTCTCTCTCTCTCTTACTAGAGGAGGATTTTGCCAGCAGTTTTCCTAAAAGACACAAGGCAGGAAAAGGGAGCTCTGAGTGGGCCGGCCGGTCCACGCCCGTCTGGCGGTGCCGCGCCGCTCTCTGGGTAGGTGTTCGGGTGGAGACACTACCGTCCCTCCGTAAGAGCTTGCTGAAAACTTTTTAAATTTACACACAATTCAGAAACCATAAAATTCACCATTTTAAAGTGTACAGTTTAGTGGTTTTTTTTTTTAATAGTATATTCACAAGGTTGTTCACTACCACCACGATCTCATCCCACAACATTCTCATCCATCGCCCCAGAAGGAGCCACATGCATGTCAGCAGTCAGCCCCCAGCCTCCGACCCGGCACTGCAACCCCTCATCCACCTCCTTTTCTGAATGAGTTTGCTGGTGCTGCCATTGTACGTGAACGGGAGAGCTCACCTCTAAATGGGATTTCTTTGCAGTGCGAGTGAAGAAATCTATGGCAAAGTGCATTAAGCCAAGAGGACAAACAATACCTTGTTTTCCCTTTTTTTTCCAGTCCACTAGAAACTTAGAGATTTTCTGGCTGGCCTACACATCTGAGAAACCCCAGAGGGTGATTTTCGACTTGCGGGTGAAGTGCAGGAGGCAGGCAGCCTGGGTGAGGCAGAGCCCTGGGGGGCCCGCTCATGTGGGGCACCGCACTCTTGTTGCACCTGCTGAGTTCGGTTTTCTTCCCCGAGGTGGAGAGAAGCCCAGTTGGCGTAGTCAGCTCTCTGGGAACAATTTGTGAACGCCATTTCAGAAAGAATTGAGTGCTTTTATTATTTTATTATCTAAGCCCATTATTGTTTACCCACATGTGTTAGTTCTGATCACCATACAACAAAGTAACCTAAAACTTAGCTGCTGGAAGCAGCACACACTTGTCATCTCAGACTTCCTGCGGGTCAGGAGTCTGGGTGTGCCCGAGCTAGGTCTGTCGCAAGGCTGTGGTCAGCGTTGGCTGGGGTCCCCCTGGGTGGCCCCGCTTGTCGGCCCACCCACGCGGTTGGCAGCAGGCAGTTCCTCACGTGCCCTTAGACCAAGAGTCTTCGTTCCTCAGGGCTGCGGGCTGCAGGCCACCCTCTGTTCCTCCCCACCTGGAGCCGTTTGTCCTCAGGGCAGCTCCGCACATGGCAACTGTCTTCAAAGAAAGCAAGCAAGGGAAGACAGAGTGCTAGCCAGACATAAGTCACCATCTCAAAAGTGACACCCCAAACTCATGGGACAGGACTGCACAAGGAGGTGAGTGCCAGGAGCCGGGGACCCTCGGGACCATCTTACAAGGCTGGTTCCCATTTGGGCCAGAGCTGGGGCCTCTGCGCCCACGTTGCTCATGCTCCCCGGCTCTCAGGAAGGGGCTGGCGGCCTGTCACTGACCCTGAACGCTCTGGCCCAGGAAGCCCCTTAGGCGACTGGTAACATGAAGCTCCTCTTTGAAATTTCTATTGTTCTTTGAGTTAAAAGTGAAAAGTGGCAGTGAAATAAAGAGTAATTTTTATGCTGATATCATATGTACTCTGTCAAATAATTTCGCTCGGCCTGGCCCCCCCCCGGGGGCGGGGCGTGTTGGTGTTGAGGTGCCACTTTCCCTGGAAATGTCCCTGGTTGTGGATTGAGATTAGGCCTGGCCCTGGGGCAGTTTCTGTTGACTCAGGTTCTGAGTGAGGAGCCCCTCCCACTCCCCACACCCAAAGGCTTGAAACCCAACCTGCGCTTTGGCTGTGCGCACTGACGATTTCTTTCCTCCGGGAATTTTGGTTGGTTGGTTGTTGATGTGCTTATGAAATATATTACAACCAATGAATAGTTTCTGTGTCCTAGATCCTCATACCCATTTGGATGGCTGCTTTTCAAAAAACAAAGTAAGTTTCGGTGAGATGTGGGGACCCTTCTGCATGACTGACTGGTAAGAAAGTGACGTGGCGCGACCTCTATGGAAAAGTGTGGAAGTTTCTCCAAAAACGACGACTTGGGTTCCTGGATGATCCACAGTCCGTTCCTGGGTGTACGGCCCCGAAAGGATGGGAAGCAGGGACTTGAAGAGGTGTTTGCACAAGCAAGCAGCACGTTGGGAGTGGCGCTGTGCGCAGTAGCCAAACGGTGGAAAGATCCGAACGCCCATCAGCAGACCGATGCGTGAACGAGCCGTGGTCCCTCTGTTCAGTGGAATCTCGCTCAGAAATCCTTTCTTCTTTCTTTCCTTTGCCCTGATGTTGTCTGGGAAAGATAGCGCCACTCACCATCCACATCTCCCAGGCCACGGCTAATGGCTAACGAAGGCCAACCTCTGGAGTGTAGGACAATGGGCCGCGGCTGATTCTTGTGTGTGTCCTGTTCAGGGAGTGGAACCCACAACCTTGGTGTATCTGGATGACGCCCTAACCAATTTAGCTACCTGGCCAGGGCCACAGGACCACCTTTTATTTCTACTAGGATAAAACCTGACTGACCCCTGGCTTGGAAGGGCACCTGTGCCCGGGCGGGATTCACCCAGGTCCGGAGCAGTGCTCTCTGTCCGTGGGCCTGCGAGCACCTCCGCTGGTGCCCAGCGGGGCAGCGCTCTGTGGGAGGCCAACCATGCCCCCACCTGTTGTTGCAGGGCCTGCCGGGAGGCGTTCCGTGATCAGGGATTGCCTTCTTTGGCAGGGCCCCATTTCCCGAGTTGGGATACATTTTAGTGGGGATCACCTTCCCTTGGCTCTTGGAGACCTTGAAGAGCCCCTGACTGTCCTTCGGCCGGACACGGAGGTGTCTGCGAGGGCCAGCACTGCCCGTCGTCATACAGGGGCGAGCGCTGCTGGGGGGTTGCCACTTGGTGACAAAGCCCGTCACTGAGGGCACGATGTGGCCGAAAGGACGATGCTTCAGTGGGGTCTTTCTCTGACTGTGCCGGCCCTCGGGGACTGTGGCTGCAAAGTGCTCTCCCAATGCTGGGAGTGGTCTCCTACCGGTGGTTCCGGTGTGGGCAAAACAAGGGGCCCCCCTCCAGACCCAACGGGCCCCGGGAGGCCTCCACGGCAGCCTTCCGAACTCAGAGGGGGAGAGTAACCAGGCAGGCGGTCCGACGGGAAGAGCCCCTAACCAGGAGCAGGTCACCGCGGGAGTCACGTCCTGGGCCTGTGGCTTCCTTGACAAAGGTCACCCTTTACCTTTGACATTGTCTATTGTCTTTGTGCATCTAAGACAGAACACCTTGGAAATGTCAGCGTCATCCTCATTCCCAGACCCCTGGGGAGACAGCCTGGGCGCCAGAGCCAGAGCTGGAGCTAGGGTCATGGTGTTTGTTACCTTGTGGCCCACATGCCACCTCTGTGTGCTGTGAGCGGTCACTGCTACCTCTCTGTCCCCACTGATCTAGAGGAAGCTAATGTTTCCACGTTTTACTCCGTATCCGGTCCCAGAGGTTTCCCCGCTTTGCTTTCTCTCACCCCCTTGATCTCCCTCCGCTGGTGGATTTCACGTAACCCCTGTGCATCTGTCCCTTCCTCTGGTTCCACGTGTAAAATAAGCCGCACAACTGCCCGTCTCCCGAGCACTTGCTCAGCTCGTGCTCATTGCGGTTTTGCTTCCCTGCAGTCATCCTTTGGCTCCCATCCGCTCACGAAAACCCTCCCTGGGTCTGCGCGGCTCTTCCCTCCACATCGCCACGCCCCTGCTTTGTAGTCAGTCTCTCAGAGGCGCTAAATTCGTGGGTGCAGCGGCTCACTGCCCAGCAAAGGGCCTTGCCGAGACTGGAAAGTCAAACAGGGAACAGGGAGAATGACTGGCTTTAAGGATTAGGGACCTGGAACCGTGACCTGTGAAGGTCACAGAGATGAAGCAAAACCAAGGATCTACGGGGCTGCCTAGGAAACTGGGAGTGACGCTGGTCCCCTAATTTGGGCTCACATCTCAGGAAAGCTGAGAGGAGGCTCAAAGGGGGGGCTTGTTAAAGAGAAAACTACAGGCCCCCAGGGGCGTCACTCAAGCTGACAGCCCATGATCCCAGACCGAGACTGAGTACGTGACCGGTCGGCGAGGTCACGTACTCAGCCTCTCAACCAGCCTGGAGTTTTCTGGTCATCACCAGTGAGGTCATCTGTCACATGCGTCTCAGTCCCCCCACATACAAGGGGCAGTCTGCATGATAAACCTGCCCCCCCAAAGATGTCCTGCTCTAAAAATAATGCTTTCTTTTCTTCAGTCAGTAGTTCCCTTTCTCCTGCAAAAACCTTCTATTCCGAAGTCCCCCTCGGAGCTGCCCCTATGATTAGCTGGATGCTGCTGCCTGGTCGTGAATCACTTAAAGCAAAGCCGATCAGACTTCCCAATTCACACGCTGAATTTTGTTTTTTAGCAGCCCTAATTCTGTGTGAACTGAGATAATTTTTCTTGAAAAAGCGGATTGCTGTTTGAGAGACATCAGATCCGAGAGAAAAAAGCCTCATTTGCGCATTTCTTGTTTCCACTTCAATTCAGTTCCTCTTTTTTCCTTTTCTTTCTTAAGATGTTGTCAAGATAGTCCCCGATTCTTCAATCTTCTTTGTTTATATTCTAAGCCTATTCGACTTTTCTTTCTAAATTGGTTTAGTGCTCTCCATTTTACATTTTAAAGGGATCTTTGGGGGTAATTGCCACAGGAACTGAAAGCGGAGTCTCGATGGCTCATCCTGTAGACAGTGAGGAGAGAGTAGACTTCCCTTCCTCACCTTCTTCTGTGTGGTTGGAAGCCCTTCAATGATTAGGAGCACAGCGAATGTTTTAATGTTTTCATTTGGCGTGTTGGGTACTTGGTCTGTCGTCGCATGGATGACGCTGTCACAGGGAGCCGTGTGGGGCGGCGGGACTGGCTCTCCTGCAGGTGGTGGGACCCACGGCTGCCCTGTGCTCCATTCTGCGGGGAAGGGATCTGTTTTGCGACCGGCACTTGCTGGAGACCCAAGGTCGTCGCCTTGGCAGCAGCAGACCCTTGGACCGAGGAACCATTTTGGCCTGTCCCATTATTTCGCAGGTTCAAGTGCATTGTGCTTGGCACGCAGTCAGTTTTCTTTCCTGAGAGATCAGCTCCTTGCTTGCGTTCCTCGAGGATCTGTGTGCTCCTGAAGCTCACATGGATGAGAAAGGGGCTCGGACTGAATCTGCCACGGCCAGTGCCTGAGCGCCACCTCAAAGGGCGACCTCGTTCTGAATCCCTCCTCGGGCAGGTCACGGTGGGCCGTCAGGCCGCAGGCCTTGAACTTCTTTAGGAAAAGTGTCCCCAGACCCATGGGGGTGGAGCCACCCTCCAGGAGGCACGTCACCTTGGGAACTGTCCTGCATCCAGGCCCTGCCCGCTGTCCCCGACATGGAATCGCCCTTACTTCCCTCCCTGACGCCAAATAGATGTATAAGGGGAGCTGAAGGGGCTGCCACTCTTCGAGCATCCGCTGTCTCCCGAGAGAGGTGGCTTCCGGGCGTGTGCTCTGCTTGGCTCTCGTGAACTCCAGTAACCTCTCTGGGAAGTTTGCACAGGCCTGGGTGGTCTACGTGGGCGGCAGTGAGAGGTGAGGAGCCGGCGCAGGACACGGATAGTATTGGTGTCTCTTCGGTCCGATACTTACTCTGCCAGCCCCACGCCCGCCAGGGCCGGGTCTCCGGTGCTGGCTTTCTCTGCGTGGAGTCCAGCCGTCTGTCGGGCACTCCACTGCAGCAGGCCCTGCTCTAAGCAAGTTACAAGTGGATTGTCCGGGTGCCCTGGAAACCGGAAAAGCTGGCGTTCCTGCTGCCTGTCACCTACCAGTAAGATTGGCAGGGACTGAATCTCTACAGGCGCTGTGTTCAGATGTCTGTCGATCTGAGAAGATGGCGGGTTTGTGCCCTAACGGACCATCCAAAACTCCATTTTAAACGACGCTTCTTATAAGGAGTAGAAAAGTGTAGGTAAGGGCATTGGAATTCAGGGGAGAAGTTAATCAGATAAAAGCTGCAGGACCTTTCATCTGTGTCCCGGGTGTGGGCGCCTCGCCCTGGAGCACCTGGCTCAGATCCCATTCCGGTTGTTTGCCATCCTCCCCGAGGCACAAAGGCTGAACTGCTTGGGGTCTCCCGGATTCAGGGTGGGTCCCACCTTCAGTTCCTGGAACAACAGCTTTCTACTTGCATTGATTACTAAGCTTAGCAACTATTACCTGAAACTGAAATTTTTCCAACACTCGAGTCCCCCATCACCCTTATTACATCTGTTTTTATACACGAGAAAAGCACATGCAGATGGCAATGCCAAAAGGCAGAGAGGTCAAGTGCACAGAGAGGTCAAGTGCAATACCCAGACGGCAGAGGCAGTAAGTGGTGAGGCCGAGGGAAACCCCAGACCTCTGTTTTGGAGCCTGGACAGTTACCAGCTGTGCCCCAGCTGTGCCACAGGTGGCTGTCACAGCAGAGGCAACCCAGATCCACCTTGTTTTCCAGGTGCGGGGGCTGGGGGGGCGGAAATGGTCGGCAGAATGAGGACCCGCCCCCAGACAGGTCCACGCTTTAATCTCTGGGACCTATGACTGTTACATGGCAGAGGAGAGTCGGGGCCACCACCCACTGACTGGAGGTGGGGGTCACCCTCGGTTATTTTGTTGGGCCACAAATCACAAGCATCCTTGTAAGTGAAAGAAAGAGGCAGGGGGTAGGAGTCAGGGTCAGGGTCAGGGTCAGGGTCAGGGTGGTGCGATAGGAGAAAGACTCGACCTGATGAGTAGAATAGAATTACTGGAATAAAACAGACGATGACAAGTATCAGAGGAGAAACTGGGTCCCTCACCTATCTCTATGGGATTATAAAATAGAAAACAGCTTGGTGATTTCTCAGAACGTCAAACACAAACCTTCCACACGACTCAGAATTTCTGCTGCTGGGAATTCATCTGCATGGAGACACGTCTGTCCACAGCAGCGCTGGTCCTCACGGTCAAGAGCTGGGGTAGCCAGCGCGTGTGAGTGTCTGGCTGTCCTGGCCGTCCGGGGGCTTGCGTGCAGCAGCTCGGGTGAGCCCAGGACGTGAGGGTGGCCACATGTGGAAGACTGCTCAGCTCATGACCCCACTCACGGACGGGCCCAGAAAAGGCAGGTTCACAGAGACGGCAAGCACAGTAACGATCGCCTGGGGGGCGCCCCCAGGCAGCAACTCCAAAAAGTACAAGGAGACGTACTCCCGAAGTACGTCTGGGGGTGATAAAAATGGTCTAAAAATGGGTTCTGGTGAGTATAGCGTGCAAGTCTGTGAATTTGCTAGGCTATCACTGAGTTAATCGCACATTTACAACAGTGAAAGGAATGTCGGTTTTTTTTTTACAGGAGAGGTGGTTACCTACTGGAGAGGCTCTCGCCACGGCCTCTGGTAGGTTGTCCTGAACCAGCGCGTTTCCGCCCTCTGTGTCAGAATGTTCACGGGGACTGGAACTCAGGGTGCCGAGAAGGTGGGGTCCCCACGGAGGGGAGTAAACGACCGGTCCCTGCTGCTGCCTTCGTGCTGCACCCTTGTGTGTCTCTGCGAATGCAGGCGTGACTTGTCCTCACTGTCACCTGTCTCTCCAGCCTCTGTCACAGCTTCAGGCTTCTTGTCCTTTCTCTGGCGGGCCAGACCCAGACTTGTGACCATGCACAGGTTCCTGAGCCGGACCAGGAGTGACCAGCGGACATTTGGGAGTCACCTCTGGCTCGTTGTGTGTGGGCGTGGTCGTGGAGGGAGAGGAAGGCTCCGGGCCACAGGATACAGGGGCAGGTCTCCGGCATCTGGCTGAGTGAGACGTGAGGGACCCCCCTGCCCACACTGGCACGGGGCCTCTGCCCGGCCAGACACACCTGCCCCCTCCCACGCTGCAAGGGGCACATCTTCTTCCTGTTGCCGCTGCAAGAAGACACAAATCCTCACCCAGTGAAGAGCGAGTCAGCGGGTGGGCCAGCGCAGGTGAGTTCGGGTCTGGGCGGCATCCCCTCCCCCGTCCCTGCTCTGTGCGGGTCAGGCCCTGAGGTTCCTCCTGGTGCCTCTGCTTTTCAGTGAGAATTCTCCTCCGGCCGCCCTACCCGCAGAACAAGATTTATCTCACCTGACTTTGCAGAGTCCTATCGTGCACATTTTTACTCCAGCCCCCCAAGGACTCAGCCCAGGGGCTTGGGGAGGGCTCGCACCCCCCACGCACGGCTCAGAGCAGGGCCAGAGGGCGGCTCGGGTTTCTCTCCACCGCACTCACGAGCTGGGCTCTCACCAGAGCTGTGGCCTGGGTGTCCACGAACTTGTTGGACTAATGAGAACTTTAGAAGTTGAAATCAGAGCAACACAGCACCTGTTTCCTTTGCTCTGGTCCAAGAGAAGTTACCATATGCATTTTTTTTTAAAGATTTTATTTATTTATTTTTAGAGGGGAAGGGAAGGAGAGAGGGAGAGAAACATCAATGTATGGTTGCCTTTTGTGTGTCCCCTGCAGGGAACCAGTCTGCAACCCAGGCATGTGCCCTGACTGGGAATCGAACCGCGATTGTCTGGTTCGCAGGCCCGAGCTCAATCCACTGAGCTACACCAGCCAGGGCACCATAAACATTTTTAAAGATTTTATTTATTTACTTAGAGAGAGGGGAGGGGAGGGAGAAAGAGAGGGAGAGAAACATTCATGTGTGGTTGCCTCTCACATGGCCCCCACTGGGGATCTGGCCTGTAATCCAGGCATGTGCCCTGACTGGGAATCGAACTAGTGACCCTTTGGTTCACAGCCTGAGCTCAGTCCACTGAGCTACACCAGCCAGGGCAGAAGTTACCATATTTTGTTGTGCGCATACCCATCTTTTGTGTACATTATACACGGGATTATCATACCTGTTATACACATGGTATGTGTTGGGAACCGCCCTGCCTGGTTTCAGAAACTGTAACCTTGTATGGCTGAAGCTGAGAGAGAGACCTTGGGACCATAAGCCACTAAGGAGACAAAGCTTATCTTCCTTGTGGGGACACCGCCTCTGCCCCCTTTCACCTCACCTTGCTTGGCTCTGGGTGGATGACTGGTTAGCCAGTGATGGGTAAGATTCCTCAAAGGTGGGGTGACTTAAGACAGGTGCGATTGCAAAGGGGCCCTCAGGGAAGGACTTGGGAGGCTGTAGAAAAAGGGGGTGATGGACCCTCGCCCCTGAGCTTTGACATGGCCCGAGTCCTCATTCTGTCTGTGAGGAGTCATCTAATCTCTTGGCTGCCTCACTTCCCCTGCCTGACTTAAGCCTGAAACAATGACAGAAGGTGGTGTAGCCTTGTGCTGGAAAGGGGGGTTAAGAAGAATGCAGAAAATCCTGTGAAACCTGCTTTGCTAATGCCCTCAATTTAAATGATAAGGGTCCAAGCATAAAATGAGTTTGTATCCCTAAAGTGTTATGGCCCTTGAACTATCATCCTGACTTGGAATAAAAGCCCTCAGAGTTCTTTGAATGTCATCTATTGTTTGATCATTTCCCCTGGACAATGACTGATGAGCTTTACATATGCACCGTGTATTCCTGTGCAAATTGACCCAATAAAGGCCCATTGAGGAAGCGGTTCCTGGCCCCTCTCCTTTGAGAGGTCAGCCACCTTTCCTGTCCAAGCAGATCATGTCTTTGTAGACTTAACCTCACCCGTGGTGGCGGTGGCGGGTGTGGTGGGGCCTGTGGGCAAAGCCCCCCCACAGGTATGTAATCATTCCCATGTATAACATACACCCTTATTTTTCCCTAAAAAATTTGGGCAAAAAGCACGCATGATACATGGCGAAATACGGGGTGGTCCCTGAGCACGTCGGAGAAGCCTGTAGGGTGCTGCCGTAACTGGATGGGTGAGTATGTCCACGGAGAGGTTTTAGGGGAGGTCGGGTGTTGATGAGCAAGTGGGGAGAGCAGCTTGGGGAGATTCCCGGAGGAAGAGGCCGTCGATGACGCTCCCCGAGTGCCGCTGGACGCAGGGCTGGGACCCAGAGCGGGGTGGTTGGTGCAGGTCCCAGCACCTGCTGACTCAGTCTTGTTCGTCCTTCTCCACAGTTACACTCTTCTGTGCAGACTGGCGTTTTCCCATTTGTCTGTGACATAGGAAGCTGCAAGATGTCCACAGTAAAGCCAGTTTCAACCCAGTCCAGCCTGCAGATAAAGACACGGCTTGGAAGTGGGAAGCTGACGGAGCCTGCGGAGGATAGACTCACTGCCTCCCTGGCCTCCCAGGTGCTGTCCCTGTCACTGTGGTTTCTGGTCTCCTGGGGGCTCCTGGCACGTCTCTTGTTCTGCCGGGAGCACAGCGTCCACCTCTTGCCCTCGTCCGTGGCGCTTTGCCTGGGGACTCGGTTGAGCAAAAACACCGATATCATAAATTCATTAAGTTTCACTTAAATTTTTATTTTTTAGTGTTTTTTAAAAAGATTTTATCTTTTTTTAGGCAGAGTAGAAGGGAGGGAGAGAGGGAGAGAAACATCAGTGTGTGGTTGCCTCTCATACGCCCCCTACTGGGGGCCTGGCCTGAGACCCAGGTGTGCGCCCTGACTGGGAATTGAACTAGCAACCCTTTGGTTCACAGGCCAGTGCTCAGTCCACTGAGCCACACCAGCCATGCCTGTATGAAAAAAATTTTTTTAAAGAACACTCACTTATTGGGATAAATTCAGCAAATACCAACCACCTACTGTACGGCAGTGAGCGAAAGCCACCGAGCCCGGGCCTCCGGAACTCCTGGTCTAGCGTGGTGGCGTGGCAGAACCAAACCTGCTGCGCTCACCTAGCACGAGCCGGGATCCAGCCAGATCATAACCATGGACCATCTCCTGACGGGGCAGCGCCACCTTGCAGGCCGGACCTCGAGCAGCCCCGCCAGGCTCCAGGATGCCCGGTCACGGGGCCGGTGCTCTTGCCCAGAGTTACTCCTTCCCTCCCAGGAGGGCTGCCTTCTCTCGTAGCCGATGAGGAAGAGCGAGGACATGGAAACCGGCTCTGGCCCCTGCTGGGCTCTTGCTGGTCACGGACTCTCTCCACGGAATTTCCTCCACCGAAAAGGAGAGTTTGGACGCCATGGCCTCTAGGGTGTCTACCGGCCGGGAAAGGCTCTGGCTCTTACCCAGAGAAAGGCCCTGCTGGACCAGACCCGCTTCTCTCTGTTCCCACAGCCCTGGCCCACCGAGCAGCCGCCCCCTGACTCCAGGTGGCTCCAGGTTAGTGCCCAGCGCCTGGGGGTGAGGTTCAGGCCTGTCCCTCCAGTCCTGTGTGCTGATGCTGCTCACACTTGTCGCTTCCCAGGTGCAGGAGTTGCCCTGCTGGCTCTGGGTTCTCGCAGGAAGGAGCCCCGGGAAAGCAGAAATCCGCTCCTGTCCTTCTACGCCCTGCAGAGGGCGCCCTGCCCCTGCAATTGGTCTGTGTGCATCTGGAGACAGTTGCTGAACTGATCTGTTGTCTTCTCTGTGCTGAATCACGCCTATTTCTGTCCACCGCATGTCTCTGAGCCGGGGCGGAGAGGACAGCAGGAGCGGGAAGCCCCCGTGCCCCCCCCCGTGCCGCAGAGCAGGCGTTGTCTCTGTGTGACTGAAACATCCGCAGCCTGGGCTTTGAAAGTTCGTCTTAAGCTGTCTGGCCGCTCCATGGTGATCCCGGCTTTTCCTGGACTTGAACCGGGAGGGGTGCTGAGGGGGCACTTGCCGAACTGACAGGTGCTTTTAGCAAATCCAAGTTGGCTCTTTTGGTCCATTCTGTCCACTCTCACCAGCATCTTCCAGTCTGTTGCCCCCAATCTCAGTATTTCCCATGGACTCTGGGACCTGGCCCAGGCTACCCTGTGCTGCTGAAGTCCCAACAGCCAGCATAGCCCTGACAGTGGCCCCGGGGGACCCCACCCAGGGGCACCGTCCAGCCCTGTCCATGGGGAAGGGACGCACCTGTATGGGGAGCCTGTGCATCCGAGACGGTGCCGAGGGCTCCCTGTGAGACCGCAGGTCCCCACACAGGGCCCCACGAGGCTCCAGCCTTCGCCGTCACCCACTGCAGTGAAAACAACCGATGCAGACACACACAGGAGACTCCAGCTGGTGTCGCGCCAGCCAGCGGGTGTTAACAGGTGCCTGCCGTCTCACGTCTGTCTGTGGTTCTGCTCTCATTCATTGTCCCCGACAGTCCCCTTTGTCTGCCTGGGTTCCCGAGTTTTGGTTGAAGAGCAGAAGGAAGGTGGAAACCATAATTCCTGAACCGGCCTCACATCATGGGGTCCCAGCTGAGGTCCGGTCTGGGTGCCCGTGCTGAGTCCTGTGGTGGGCAGAGTCCCCATCTCGGCTTCCTTACCTGGCCTGCCTCCCCCCACCCCCAACCAGAGGCGTCCTCAGGAATGTTTCTTGTTGGGCCTGGAAGGTCCAGGGTGCCTGGATGGGTCCTTTGGTGACTTTAGGTTCCAAACCAGCACCCACTCTTAGAGCTCAGGGAGCAAACTAAGTTGTTCCGGGGAGAAGGGCTGACCATCCTCACTGGGTGGGAGTTGGTGGTCCCCTCCCCTCCATTAGAGGGCGGAGGGGAGACTTGGGGGGTGTGTTGAGACCAGGGTCCCCCCAGGGGACCATCCCACCTTGACCCAGGTGTGTCCTGAGCCAACTCGAGGACCTTGGCTGGACTCGCCTCCTTCCTCGGCCCCTCCCTTATCTCAGAGCAGCAGCAGGGACAGCGAACCTCCCTGCCGGGGCCAGCAGAGCACAGCCCGCCCCGGTTGCCAGGCCCTGACCTCCGTTTCTCTAAGGGCAGCCCAGGCGCCAGCAGTTCCTTCCCCCTTAACCTGCGTAAGGCAAAGGCAGACACGCCCCCTTCACTCCCCTGGCTTCTAACTTTAACCCCTTTGCTGCTGGGGGGGAGGGTTCAGTTCCCTGTTATGGGCTGAATGGGCCCCCTCTCCAGGTTCACAAGTTCAAGCCTCCAGCCCAGGACCTCAGGATGCGGGAATTAAGGAAAAACGAGGTCATCAGGGTGGGCCCTGACCCGGTGTGACTAGTGTCCCTATAGGAAGAGGGAGTTAGGATACAGGCAGACACAGAGGGACGACCACGAGAAGGCCCCACAAACCAAGGAGTGAGATCTCGAGAGGAACTGACCCTGCCCGCACCTGGGTGTCGGACGTCCAGCCTCCAGACTGAGAAAGCGGCTTTCTGCCGCCCAGCCTGCGACACTTAGGGGCCCCCCCAGCACCCCTGCTTCAGCAGCCCTGGGCGTGGGCAGCCTTGCGCCCTCACCTGGCGGCCAGGTGAGTCTGCCTGCCCTCCCCTCAGCAGTCAGTCAGTCAAGTGCAGCTGGGCCTTGTCCTTGGGCTTCAAGGGAGAGGGACCTGGGGCACCATCACGGGGCGGGGCTCAGCGTGCAGTGGGCGGGTCTGTGCTTGCTGGCGTGTGTCCCATGTAGACGGAGAGACCTGAGCGCTAAGCTCAGCTTCCCTCCACCCCGCAGAGCATGCAGCATGCCCTTCCTAAAAAAAACAAAACAAACTACTGAAGTGTAGCTTTCAGGATTAAAACACCTTTTCAGTGTATCAGCCCATGTAGTCACCCGTCATCGATGCCATAATCAAAACGAAAGTCCTTTTTCTAGCCGTCTGGGTGTGTGACTGGCCAGTTATAAAACATACTTTCAAGCGCATGTCACAGTGATTTTACGGGGTATCCATGGGAAAGGCTTCCCGGCGTCGTAATTAACGTGCCTGTCCCCTCACTGGAGCCTCCGTGGGAGGGCCCTGAACCTCCACTCCAGCAAATTAAGTTCCAACTCTGCCGTAGTGTCCTTGGTACAGTCACCACGAATGACCTTCTTCATTACGTAACCGCGCCCTGTGCCCTGCGCTCCCCGCCCCAGCCCCTGGCAGCCACCTTTCTACTCTCTGTTTCTATGAGTTGGATTTATTTAAATGTTTACTTATCGATACTTTTTAGAGAGAGAGAGAGACATCAGTTTGTTGTTCCACTCACCGATGCATTCACTGGTTCATGCTTGTATGTGCCCTGACTGGGGATCGAACCCGCAACCCTGGTGTATCAGGACGATGTTCTAACCAAGTGAGCCACCCGGCCAGGGTGAGTTCGACTTTTTTTTAAGATTCTATACAGAAGTGATACTGTGTAGTATGTGTCTTTTTCTACCCGGCTTACTTTACTTGGCATAACGTCCTCCAGTTTCATCTACATTGTTGCGAGCAGCAGGATTTCCTCCTTTTTAAAAGGCGGAATGCTGTTCCACTGTGTGTGTGTGTGCGCGTGCGCGTGTGTGACACCCACCGAATTCTCTTCATTCACTCGTTCCCTGACACTCGGGTTGTTTCCATGCCTTGGCTACTGTGATTAATGTTGCAGTAGCCGTGGGAATGCAGCTGTCCCTCCGAGAAACTTTGTTTCTTTCGGATGCGCCTGGAGGTGGGATTCCCGGATGACCTGGCGGTTCTGTTGTTCATGTTCTGGGAGCCTCCATACCGTTTCCTGTAGTGACTGTAGCAATTTGCGTCCCCACCAAGGGTGCCAAGGGTCCGCCTGCTCATCAGCCCACTTACCTCTCATCTGTTGTTAGCCCTCATGGAGCGGGTGTGGGGCGACACGTCCCTGTGGCTTTGATCTGCATCCCCCTGGTGGCCGGTGATGCGAAGGGCCAGTTAAGCTCTGTTGGCCATTATGTCTTCTTTGGAAATTATCTACTCAGGCCTTTTGCTCATTTTTTAAAAAGATTTTATTTACTTATTTTTAGATAGAGGGGAAGGGAGGGAGAAAGAGAGGGAGAGAAACATCAGTGTGTGAGAGAAACATTGATTGGTTGCCTCTTGCATGCCTCCAATTGGGGACCCAGCCCGCAACTCAGGCACGTGCCCTGACTGGGAATCAAACCGATGATCTTTTGGTTCTCAGGCCAGCACTCAGTCCACTGAGCCACACCAGCCAGGGCTTTTTGCTCATTAAAAAAAAAACAACAAAAAAACCCACTTTATTTATTTATTTTTAGAGAGGGGAAGGGAGAGAAAGGAAAGGGAGAAAAACACCAATGTGTGGTTACCCCTTGCACACCCCCTACTGGGGACCTGGCCTGCAGCCCAGGCATGTGCCCTGGCTGGGAATCAAACCGATGACCCTTTGATTCACAGGCCATCACTCAATCCACTGAGCCACACCAGCCAGGGCCTTTTGCTTATTTTCAAATTGGGTTACTTGTGTGGGTTTTGCTGTTGCTGTTATGGAAGTCTATGAATTCCTTTTATATTTTGGATATTAAGCCCTTATCTGATACATGGTGTGCAAATTCTCCCACCGCGCGGGCGCCCTTTTCATCTCGTGCGTGGCTGTCTTTGCGGTGCAGAAGCTTTTTAGAACGCCGTGGTCCCCCTTGTTTACTTTTGCTTTGGCTGCTCACACAGTGTGCCATTTCCACGGGGATGTCAGAAAATCGATCCGTGTCTGCTCCCACCCGCCCGGCTGGTGTTCGCTGGTGTGTGACGGTTCCAGTCATCTGCCCTGTGCTGAGAGCTGTGGGGAGGGGAGGGAGGCGGAGCCTGTTTGAGCTGCCGAGGACTCTCAGCCCTGGGCGGGCTGGCCACCATGGACTGTGACCACTCCCCACAGCCACAGTCAGGCCTGCTGGGCACTCACGTTGTTGGAGACCTTCTGGCCGTCACAGAGCAGTCGCAGTGCCCTCAAGACACTGTGGGTCAAGGTGAGTCTTCCCCTCGACTGGAGAAATCCCAGGTGGGAGCCGCAGTGTAGAAGCCTGTAGAGGAGGAGACGGTCACTGCAGGCCTCCCAGGGGCAGCCGGAGTCTGCAGCCCTAGAACAAGGTGCCGGTGGGAGCGGGGAAGGCCGGAGAGGGGGAGTGGCCAGCCTGCCAGGCCTGGGGCCGCCCATGGTGACCACGGTGACCACAGGTGAGACGTGGTCCAACAGCGGGATGCCCCACTCCCGGCAGACTGCCCGCCGCAGGCCTGACGTGTAGCTGGGGTGTGGGGCAGTTCTGTGGGCGGGACCCCATGCAGTGGCTCCCTGGGACCCCGCTCTGCGTCCCTCCACGGCAGCCCTCACCAGGCAGTCCCTTCCAGTCCCCGCGGCCGCTCTGCTGAAGGAGACCGAAGTCTTCAGCCGGTTGTAGCTAAGGCGACCACACACACAGCTCGCAGCTGATTCATTTTGGAGGGAGAGCGTTTTTATTACATTTCCACTTGGCGCCCACGTTCCTCCTGGGCTCCCGTCTTTTTGGCTGCCCTGGGTTTGAGGGTCCCTGAGACTGCCCCCACGTTTGGTGATTCACTAGAGGCTCGCAGGACTGAGGGCGCAGCTCGTCCTCATGCCCGAGGTTTATTGCAGCCAAGGGCCCGCAATCATGGCAGCGGGCGGTGGAGCCACAGGGGGGTCCAGGGGTCTCTGCGGGCTTCGGACACGGTGCCAACCCTGCGGCCGGCAGAGGGGCCGTGAAAAACACAGCAACATGAGTGTGATGTCTGCCCACAGACGCCCACTAGAGACTCAGCTCCACAGGTGTTTA